CAGTGACTTCAATTTTGGATTTGAATTAGTTGTATATTTATTTTTCTACTTACTTATGTAGGCCTATGTATGCTGCAGTTCAGCTTTTATCTGGGGAGTGGCAGGTCACCTAGTGGTTATAGAAGCAGGCCTGCAACCGGAGGGTTGCCAGTTCGAATCCAAGCTCAGATACCATTATCCGCCATTGTGCCCTTGAGCAAGGCACTTAGCTTAGCCCCATATTATTGCTCCAGCGGCACTGCACTGTGACTGACCCATTTCTTCTAGCCCGTTGGGGTATGTGTGTGTGTGTCTCAGGTTGTGAGCATAAAGACACATTTCCATTCTCTGTAAGTTAAAGGGATACTTTGGGATTTTGGCAATGAAGCCCTTTATCTACAGTTTGAAGGAAGTTGCTAACTAGCGTGAGCGCAACTGCTAACTAGCATTACCGCAATGAAATAAAGTATGATCTAATATTTAATATATTATGAATATTAGTCCCGTGTAGTTCAGTTGGTAGAGCATGGTGCTTGCAGCGCCAGGGTTGTGGATTTGATTCCCACAGGGAGACCAGTACTAAAAAGTTGTATTAAAATGTATGCACTCATTACTGTAAGTCGCTCTGGATAAGAGCGTCTGCTAAATGACTAAAATGTTTTTGTTTGTTTTTTTACGGTGATTTCCCCTATACAGTATTATGATAACCAGCTTCAAAGGGGTATTTGGTTTCACATCTTTGTATGTAACACAAGCATGCAACCATTCACCCTTAAACAGTGTAGGTAGTAGGGGAGACCGGGGTTGGTTGTCACACGGGTTGGTTGACACAGTGCCTATTACGTGTAATATTTTCAAGATAGAAATGTGTGTCCTCTATAGGAGAGGTCATTCATTTGGTCAATTCAGGTCAGGATCACAAAACATTGCTATGAGAGGAATATTAGCATTTTTCACAAGCATATTCATATGCTTGTTATTTCATTAATACATTTTACATTTTAGTCATTTAGCAGACGCTCTTATCCAGAGCGACTTACAGTTAGTGAATTCATATTTTTTTTTTTTTTTTTTTTTTTTTATACTGGCCCCCCGTGGGAATCAAACCCACAACCCTGGCGTTGCAAACGCCATGCTCTATCAACTGAGCTACATCCCTGCCGGCCATTCCCTCCCCTACCCTGGGCCAATTGTGCGCCGCCCATGAGTCTCCCGGTCGCGGCCGGCTGCGACAGAGCCTGGATTCGAACCAGGATCTCTAGTGGCACAGTTAGCACTGCGATGCAGTGCCTTAGACCACTGCGCCACTCAGGAGTACAAATAATAAATAGTTGTATGATGCGAGTATCCATAAACAATTAATTTTATTGAAAATAGAAAAGGGAGAGTCATATGTCAAATCAAATCAAATCAAATTTTATTGGTCACATGCGTCGAATACAACAGGTGCAGACATTACAGTGAAATGCTTACTTACAGCCCTTAACCAACAGTGCATTTATTTTAAACAAAAAAGTAAGAATAAAACAACAACAAAAAAAAGTGTTGAGAAAAAAAGAGCAGAAGTAAAATAAAGTGACAGTAGGGAGGCTATATATACAGTAAAATAAAGTGACAGTAGGGAGGCTATATATACAGGGGGGTACCGTTGCAGAGTCAATGTGCGGGGGCACCGGCTAGTTGAGGTAGTTGAGGTAATATGTACATGTGGGTAGAGTTAAAGTGACTATGCATAAATACTTACTTAACAGAGTAGCAGCAGCGTAAAAAGGATGGGGTGGGGGGGCAGTGCAAATAGTCCGGATAGCCATGATTAGCTGTTCAGGAGTCTTATGGCTTGGGGGTAGAAGCTGTTGAGAAGTCTTTTGGACCTAGACTTGGCACTCCGGTACCGCTTGCCGTGCGGTAGCAGAGAGAACAGTCTATGACTAGGGTGGCTGGAGTCTTTGACAATTTTGAGGGCCTTCCTCTGACACCGCCTGGTATAGAGGTCCTGGATGGCAGGGAGCTTTGCCCCAGTGATGTACTGGGCCGTACGCACTACCCTCTGTAGTGCCTTGCGGTCAGAGGCCAAGCAGTTGCCATACCAGGCGGTGATGCAACCAGTCAGGATGCTCTCGATGGTGCAGCTGTAGAATTTTTTGAGGATCTGAGGACCCATGCCAAATCTTTTTAGTCTCCTGAGGGGGAATAGGCTTTGTCGTGCCCTCTTCACGACTGTCTTGGTGTGTTTGGACCATGATAGTTCGTTGGTGATGTGGACACCAAGGAATTTGAAGCTCTCAACCTGTTCCACTACAGCCCCGTCGATGAGAATGGGGGCGTGCTCAGTCCTCTTTTTTTTCCTGTAGTCCACAATCATCTCCTTTGTCTTGGTCACGTTGAGGGAGAGGTTGTTGTCCTGGCACCACACGGCCAGATCTCTGACCTCCTCCCTATAGGCTGTCTCATCGTTGTCGGTGATCAGGCCTACCACTGTTGTGTCGTCGGCAAACTTAATGATGGTGTTGGAGTCGTGCCTGGCCATGCAGTCATGGGTGAACAGAGAGTACAGGAGGGGACTGAGAACGCACCCCTGAGGGGCCCCCGTGTTGAGGATCAGTGTGGCAGATGTGTTGTTACCTACCCTTACCACCTGGGGGCGGCCCGTCAGGAAGTCCAGGATCCAGTTGCAGAGGGAGGTGTTTAGTCCCAGGATCCTTAGCTTAGTGATGAGCTTAGAGGGCACTATGGTGTTGAATGCTGAGCTGTAGTCAATGAATAGCATTCTCACGTAGGTGTTCCTCTTGTCCAGGTGGGAAAGGGCAGTGTGGAGTGCGATAGAGATTGCATCATCTGTGGATCTGTTGGGGCGGTATGCAAATTGGAGTGGGTCTAGGGTTTCTGGGATTATGCTGTTGATGTGAGCCATGACCAGTCTTTCAAAGCACTTCATGGCTACAGACGTCAGTGCTACGGGTCGGTAGTCATTTAGGCAGGTTATCTTAGAGTTCTTGGGCACGGGGACTATGGTGGTCTGCTATGTCTCATGTGGTTCATAGTTCAAGCCATGTGGTTCATAGGTCAAGCCATGTGGTTCATAGGTCAAGCCATGTGGTAACTAGCATCTTAATTAGCACTTCCGAGGGGTGGTTGGGGATGGTTATCACATTGTGAGAACCATCCCCATTGTAACAATGTACCCAGTAGGCTAAATGGCGTTGAAAAGACGCCTAGAATACATTTTCCGTATGTTGAAAATATGTGTATGTTTCACAAGTTTGGACAGCACAGCACAGCACAGCATAGCACAGTACAGTCCAGTAGAGTTGAATTCAGCAGAGTACAGTACAGTATATTACAGTAGATTACAGTACAGTACACTAGAGCAAAGTAGAGTACAGTTCAGTATAGTTGAGTTTAATTCAGTAGAGTAGAGTACAGTATAATAAAGTACAGTATAGTGCAGTACAGTGCAATACAGTGCAGTACAGTTTAATTCAGTATAGTACAGTAGAGTAGAGTAGAGTACAGTACAGTCAAATTCAGTAGAGTACATTAGATTACAGTACAGTACAGTTACATTTAATTCAATACAGTAGGATACAATACAGTACATTTTACTGTACTCTACCCTACTGTGCTGTACTCTACTTTACTGTACTATATTGTATCCTACTGTGCTCTACTGTACTGTACTGAACTGCACTATACTGTCACGGATTCAGCCGAGGCTGCCCCTCCTCCTTGCTAGGGCAGGCTTCGGCGTTCGTTGTCCCCGGAGTACTAGCTGCTACCGATCCATGTATCTATGTTCTAGTTGTTTTGTCTTTATTGGTCACACCTGTTTCCCATTATGTTGTGATGTCTTCCCTATTTAACCCTCTGTCTCACACTGTGTGTTGTGTGTGTTTGTTCATGTTTCGGCTGTCGTTAGTGTGCGGGTTTGTTCCCTCCCTGCGTGGAGGTTGTTGTTCTTTCTTTTACCTTTCGAGTAAAGTATGCCTTCTGATTAGCTCTGTGTCCTGCGCCTGACTTCGCCTACCGCATTACACTGACGCCTTGACATATACTATACTTTACTGTACGCTACTGCACTCTACTCTACTGTACTGAATACACTCTATTTTTCTTTACTGTACTGTACTCTACTGTATACTGTGCTGTCCAAACTTATGAAACATAGATGTCTATGATTGGTTCAGATTTGGTCCGGTCCTGCTTGTCAAAACTGTGAGTCGTGCGACTCCGACTGAGAGTCAGCAACATTCACACAGACACACACAAACATTCCTTGTTTTTCAACACAAAATGTACTTAACACAAATGTTTACAGCTTTACTTCTTTCACTTTTTCAAAATATTTCATTTTCATCCAAATATCAGATGGTTACTGTTGTTTGTTAGATTAAGCATTGATATGACAATTTCAGTGGAGTAGGAACTACAATGTCAAAGCAAATATTCAACTATGTTGAATTTATTTTTACTTATTTATTTGTATTATGCTAGACATAAATACTGTTCAATAAATTAAGGCTTTACTTTTTTCAAATACTTTTTCTAAAACTTAGTAAATTGGTTAAGTTGTTGCTGAAAAACAAATGGCAAACACAGTTACAACCAACCCCATTCTGTGTGACAACCAACCCCATTCTGTGTGACAACCAACCCCAGGATGGGTCTGGATGTCACAAGTGGACAGAGTGTGTTTAATGGCTTATAACTCCATGTTGGAATAAAATATGAGGGTCAAAATGGTCCGCATTTAAACCCAAGACCCTGGTCTTTCTCTTATTGAAAATAGTCTTGTAAGATATACTGGTGCTAAGAAATACACAAATTAGTAAAAAGTGTGTCAACCAACCCCTGTCTCCCCTAATCAATCCAGGACTGTGCAACTCTTTAAAGTTGTGCAACAGCTCACATTTCAGCACTTCTGATTACTTGCAATGGTGTTGTAACTCCTCTGTCCTTGAAGCATGTTGAGTTCATGGTGCACAGGACCTATGGTCACAGTTTGAGTTCCTGTTATGATTTTATTGGGATTCAGCCGACTCCTGTTCCACAAAGGTGGATATGAAAGGATCTATGCCAGCCAGGGAAAGATCGGGCCTCTCGCAGGTGGTCGGGGCGTCGAAGATATCAAAGTACTTGAGAGTGTGGTAGGCCTTGGGTCCGCCATGATTTGGTGGCTTGTTAGTATGCTTGAATATTTCATGTCGAAGTCTGAAATGTGAGAGATAGCAAACAATTTACTGCCGGCAGAAATTAATTTCTTCACATGGTGTGTTCTGAGCCTAGACCTGTATCTGCTTGCCTACTATCTACTGCATCACGCTTGTAATGTGGCTCACTCACCGTTTCCCATGTTCTTCTGTGTAACAAGAGGTTTTAATCTCCTCCTTGATGTCTGTGTCGCTGATGGACAGTGGAGGGTGTCTAAGCTTGCTGGGCGAGTCGGACTGCAATTACATCTCGAGAGAGGAAGATCAGTAGCATATAGAGGAGAGAGAGCGGGAGAGAGAGAGGGGGTGAGGGAGGATTAGAGGTAAAGGAAGAGAGAGAGGGAAAGATTGACAGAGGGGGAGCACGAGAGAGAAGTTGAGAGGGAAAGGAAGAGTGAGGAAGAGTGATGGAGGGAGAGCTTGAGGTAGAGAGATAGAGAGGGAGAGAGTGACAGAGGGACAGACAGAGAGAGAGAAGTTGAGAGGAAGAGGAGAGAGTGGGACAGAAAGAGAAAGAACATGAGGATGAGGTCGAGAAACAAAGGTAGACTGGAGCTATAGAGATGATATGGGGGATATCGAGATAGAGATAGATAGATCTAGATAGGAGAGAGTAGAGATCTCTCTCTCTCTCCGCTCTTCTCTCTCGTCTCCCATCCTACTCTCTCTCGCTCGCTCTTAGACTCTCTCTCTCTCGCTCTCTCTCTCCCTTCTCGTCTCTCTTTCCTCTCTCTCTCTCTCGTGTGTGCTAACTCATCCCTTTCCCTGCACATTTTCTCTTCCCATTCCCCTTTTGTTAGTACTGTCTACTTCGGGCTGTAGATGAGAGTCAGGGATGTAGCTCAGTTGGTAGAGCATGGCGTTTGCAACACCAGGGTTGTGGGTTCAATTCCCACGGGGGGCCAGTATGAAAAAAATAATATATATATGCACTCACTAACTGTAAGTCGCTCTGGATAAGAGCATCTGCTAAATGACTAAAATGTAAATGTAAAAAATGGTAGCGTCGATGAACAGGCTCGGAAATTACCTTTTTTGTACGCACCTTTGGCTCAGAGTCGTCAGCGTTAATGACGTCGGACACTCTGGTCTCTCCCTCCAGGATGGGGTGAGCTGGCATGCTCAGAGGGTCGATCAGGATCTCATAGGGAACGGCAGGATGCTTCCAGGAGGAAGGGATGTGGATGCTCCAATTGTCCTGCTGCCCAAACGTCCCTAAGGAGAGAGAGATAGGGATAGAGAGAAACATTCTCCATTTGTACTTTCAATCAGTTACTTTCATAAATTTATACTTTAAATTGGTCAGTGTTGAGAGTAAAAGAGTAAGAAAAAAAGTGCCATATAGAAGCAAACCGGATGGACATCATGAAAATGATCGGAGAGGTAGAGGAAGTTCAGGAATAAAAACAAACCAAATAGAATTATTGTAAAATTGACTGTGTCCATAAAATGTATATAGTATGTATAAACTGGAAGTAGAGGCCTAAGCATTGTTGTTCACTAGTTTACTCCAATTAGGGAAGGGGTAGTGGGGTTGGAAAGTAATAAAGGGAAATATATTTTTTTAAAGGATATGTGTATGCATATGTATTTATATATATGTATGTATGTATGTATAAAAACATATGGGGGATTGGAAGTGATGCAGACAATTACATTGATGGAAGTTACAATCTATCTGCAATATTAAAGCTGATCTACCCCCAGAAAAAAAAAGAAAGCTGTTATTAGGAAGGTAGTGTTTAACTGATCTAAATAGCATAACTACAACAGTGGTTATCATAGTCTATACAAGGGAAGCATCTATCCCCAAAACACACCCCTATCTACTGAACATTAATCTTAAAACATAAATCATAAAACTTGTATACAGAGGAGGAGGAGACAACAGGACGAACGACCTGTGTGATTTGACCCCTACCTATGAACTCTCCGTAGGCACTCCACAGGCGCACAGTGCAGTCTATGGACGAGGTGAGCAGTACTTGGTCATTGTCAACAATCTGCAACCTGTACAAGATGGTTAAAGGGAGGAAGTGAGCAAAATGTGAAGCACAATTTTGTTGTTTATGTTCGAGAGGGTGTTCCCGATTAGCAGGTGCTGCACGTACCCGGTGATGCTGCCGGTATGGGCACGCCAGTAGTTTTCAGCTGAATAAATAAAGACGCTTTTTACTTTTTTAATGCATAGATCAATATAACGCTCTGAGACTAAATAAATCATGCTCTCTTTTGATCTCTTTTGATCAGACCTGTTCTAACGAGTTGAGAAAACAATCGTACCTCTCGGTGGGGTTTTCTCTGAGCCAAGAGCATATGTCTTTATGGCATAGACATAGACATAGCCAAGTTGGTCAGCCGCGTACAGTGACGTGTCTTCCTTTGTCACTGCCAGTTTAGTGATAAGCTGCTGGAACCTAGACTGAAGAACATATTCTTTAGTTACACTTGCTTCATAACGTTCACGAAAAATCCTGAATAAACAATTTATAAATATTGTACATAGCCTACTATTAATAAATAAGCACAATAATTTATAACATGTTAGCATTACAATATGCATTTTAAGCACTTACTATCGTTCCTAACATATTTCTAAACATTTATACACATTAATTGAGTAAGAATTTATAATGGCTTATTAAGAAAAGTTATTATAATAAACTGTTGTTATTGCTTTATGATGTCTAGAAACATCCAAAGGTTATAACATAAAAAGGAGCACAATGAAAGTTGCCATGTTAACACATACTGCCTCGAAGTTGGCCAAGAATTTCCCGCCGTTGAGCACGTTCCAGAAGTTAATGCAACCTTTGTTTGAAGACATCAAATAATACTTCATTGGAACATATTCCTCTGTGAATTGCACTGCACAATATATTATTATAATACATTTGATTTTCTATAATATATCATACATGCCATTTAGCAGATGCTTTTATCCAAAGTTACTTACAGTAATGTGTGCATACATTTTTGTATTGGTTGTACCAGTGAGAATCGAACCCATGATTCCTGACACTGACCTGTGGGTCCTGAGGACAGGAGGCATGCAGCGGAGGAGAACTCAGCATGTAATGCTCGGCTCCTCAGGAAGATGATGCTGGGAACACTGGTATCCATCCCTTATAGAGCACAAACATCCCACACTTTGTATTTGACTTCCTATTCCCTTTTTACTTAGTCCCTTTATACTGCACATTCCTCATTTTGTTTTGAAAAACAGCTATTTACCCTGAGGATTGTTCTACACTGTAAATAAAGAAGGGTACGGTCAAGGTGCATTTCTGTTTCCCAGGGTACAAATGTAGGGTACACTAATGCTTGGTGCTGATATGTACCTTTGCTTAGTAGAAAAGGTACAAATTGACAATGTATTGAAGAAAGGTACATATTTGTACCCACATAAGGAACAATGATGAATCCACCTGTGCCATCTCTTTAGAGGTGTGGCTTAGTGGGGGCGGGGCTTTCAGTTAGCTCTTTTTGGCCACCCAACCATGAGTGGAAGTTTTGTACAAGTTTAAGTGTTCTATAGTTATGTTAACTAAGGTTTTCCAAAGTCTTTATAATGGCTAACATAAGAGCATGTGACAATAAAGAGCTTTTAGTAATATGGTAGCGACCTTAACCCAACACCTTGCTACCTCATCAAATGGTTCGGGCCTCGTGGCGTAATGGTTAAGTTGTTGGCCTGACAGTTGCTGGACCTGGGTTTGAGGCCAAGTCGGAGATACCTGCTTAATTCGCTACATTCAGACAATTGAAGCGGTGTATACACGTGAGGGACTTGGTACAGAGAAGAGGTACATTTTTGCCACCTAAAAGGCACAAACGGCTTTGTCATTGTGGTGTTACCCTAAAAAGGCCAATTTGCACCTTTTTCTAAAGGTACACTTTTGTACCATGTCCCCTAAGGTACACTATTGGCTCTTCTAAGGTACAAACTGCAAGGGTACAATTAGGTACCTATAACTAATGGTCCAATGGATGTACCCTACATTGTTTGTACCCCTTTAAGTACAATTCAGTACCTTTTCTTCTGAGAGTGTAGGCTTTAGCTACACTCTATGGCATGCAGGCGAACCGCTCAGGGTTGATAGTGTGATCTGACCTTGGGCATGGCAGCAGTCAGGTTGCAGAGGGCTGGCAAAGCGACACTGGATGTGTCCAGAGACCAGGTTCCACACAATGACCTCCCCGTCGTAGCTGCTGGTGGCCAGGAGGGACGGGGGACACTGGGCCACACACAGGATGTCCTCTATGTGGCCCCTCCTCTGGAGACAGCACAGGAAGACCATTCGGTTCTATATTATAATTATATTAAATTCTAGTTTATTCTATGATTATATTCTATCTATTATATAATTATATTGTATTGTATTTAATTGTATTTAATTTAGGTGCTTTCTTTCAAATCAGTGTCTAATTTAAATCATTAGACCTTAGAACCCAAGTGTGTACCACTCAGTGACATGATGGATGAATCAGTGGCATGATGGATGAATTAGGTACCAGGCAAAGGAGAAAACCAGACCCTCAAGGACCGGAGCTCCCCATCCATGACCTGCAGTAGTATATCAAAGATAACTGGGGCCGACAACTTGGGCCATAAAGTAGGAGTGCTGATTTAGGATCAGTTTAGCTTTTTAGATCACAATGAATAAGATTATATGGACAGGGGGGGACTGATTCTAGATCAGCATTCCTACTCTCAGCTACTTAATACAGCCCCTGACATAAGCACTCAGATTAGCCCTATATATTCTGATTGGCATTGCATGTCTAGTTCCCTATTCATGTTCCTCATTCATTCCTTATTCACCAGATCGTCCTGCCATGAGGGCTGAGGCTTCTGGATGTGGTGAGGCTCGTCTGGTGAATCCTAGCATGGAAACATACAGGGCATGCAGTCAACATTTTGAAATGAGGATCTTCAACCAGCCGTCTATTGTTGAAGTCTAGAAATGAGAGAGGCACGTGTGTATTTCTAACTGGATCCCTCTGATGCCCTTTCTGTGACTTAGTAAAGTGCGCTGCCATCTCTACAGCTCTGGTCTCTGTGCCTCTGACCTCGTCCCCAGGGCAATGGCTGGGAACGAGATTACTATGCCTCATAGTTATGTGGTCTTTGAAATCCAGCTCTTATGATGTTCTCGATGCTCTCAGAATCAAAGGTGGATGGGAGGACTCTGTGGGAGGAATTACAGCTCTGTGGACAGGTCCATGCATACCTTTGTTCCTACAGGCCTGGAAGAGTGTGAGTGTCACTGAAGTGCTATTGAATATGGAATTCTATAGAAAGTCTATTCTTTAGAACCTATCACCTCTGAGTTGGTTCTCTTACTTGAATGCTTAGAAGTCTCTTATACTGAAGAATAGTGTAGAAGAAGAGGGATTTTTCAGACACTCAAAGACTGCCATACATAAGTAAAACATTTTGAAGAGTAACGAGGCAGGCAAGCTTATTAGGGCGTTTATATTCCTCGCTGATAATATACTCCGAATATGCTCTTGAAGAGTTTTCAAAGATTGTCTCGTGTTTTTGTGAAGTCATAAAACACTTTGAATTTGGCATGGCTACCGGTGCAGACTCTCAGGTGGTCTCTGCTCTGGTGAGGCGTATGCAGAAGGTAATGAAAATGGAAATGGGATCTCAAGGTTGAATAGGTTCTAAGAGGAAGACGGGTCATTGGAGTAGTAAATGTATAGATCCAATAGTGAAATCATTCACATAGAAAATATGTGGTCTATCTGGCTCATAGAGATAGTTCTTCTTCACCTCTATACTCACAGAGTATATGTCAATCCTGCGGTCCCATCCAACAGACATCACATACCTGGAAAAATGTATTGCACGAGGTTGAGATGAATCATTATTCCTCGCAAATCAACATTTGTCACATCCATCATTAGTTCTACTCACGTGTTTCTGTGGACTGTCAGGTAGGTGCAGTCACACACCTCATTGGACTCCCCATCTGTGTGACATGTTTACGCGAAACTATTATAGCACATTAGTGGTTATATAGCCTGTGTTATGGAGGCAGTTGACATAAGGGACAACAACAAATTAGCCTGTCATCTATAATGCAATGATTGTTACCTTTATAATGTCTTATGCTGTTGTTCATAATGTTTATGACTGCCTATGACAGATGTTATAATGTATTATATAGCTGTAATAATGGCTTTATGAATGCATACATAAGGGGGGCTTCAGTAAAGTGTTACCGAATCACCTCATGCAGCATATAACAGAGAGAATATATAAATCCTGATCACTGTATTGCTCCTAACACCACCTTTATACTGTGAGATATGAATTAGAATGTACTCACCCTTTTTTAGTATCTTCAGACACTGACCATTGTTAAAGTTCCAGATCTTTAGAAAGCCATCTCTCCCCCCAGTGACCAGTCTATAATGAGGAAGTTTAATCTTATTTATTTCTTTCAAACATTTATTGAAAATACATTTATTTTTGTAGTTTTATTTTGAACAAAATAAGGCAAACACCACAATACAAACACACAAATACAAACAAAATAACATCTGCAGTGCACACTCTTCATCACTCTTAATTTACCTCATTAATCTGAGCTTCCATTAGGTAGGCAACAGTATGGTCATATTGCATTCATGGGAAAATATCACATTTCAATAATCAGTCATTAAAAAGAGCTTCACATACCTCCTTCCTTTGGGGTCAAAGGTCATACAGGTAATGGCAGATTGTCCGTGGGCACCACCAAATTCAAACACCTGGCTCCCTGTGTCGAAATCCCACACCTTCACCACCTAGGATCAGTTAGACAACATGTTGTGTGACCAATGACATCATATCGTATACAATATACAGTGGGGCAAAAAAGTATTTAGTCAGCCACCAATTGTGCAAGTTCTCCCACTTAAAAAGATGAGAGAGGCCTGTAATTTTCATCATAGGTACATGTCAACTATGACAGACAAATTGAGGAAAAAAAATCCAGAAAATCCCATTGTAGGATTTTTTATGAATTTATTTGCAAATTATGGTGGAAAATAAGTATTTGGTCACCTACAAACAAGCAAGATTTCTGGCTCTCACAGACCTGTAACTTCTTCTTTCAGAGGCTCCTCTGTCCTCCACTCGATACCTGTATTAATGGCACCTGTTTGAACTTGTTATCAGTATAAAATACACCTGTCCACAACCTCAAACAGTCACACTCCAAACTTCACAATGGCCAAGACCAAAGAGCTGTCAAAGGACACCAAAAACAAAATTGTAGACCTGCACCAGGCTGGGAAGACTGAATCTGCAATAGGTAAGCAGCTTGGTTTGAAGAAATCAACTGTGGGAGCAATTATTAGGAAATGGAAGACATACAAGACCACTGATAATCTCCCTCGATCTGGGGCTCCACGCAAGATCTCACCCCGTGGGGTCAAAATGATCACAAGAACGGTGAGCAAAAATCCCAGAACCACACGGGGGGACCTAGTGAATGACCTGCAGAGAGCTGGGACCAAAGTAACAAAGCCAACCATCAGTAACACACTACGCCGCCAGGGACTCAAATCCTGCAGTGCCAGACGTGTCCCCCTGCTTAAGCCAGTACATGTCCAGGCCCGTCTGAAGTGCATTTGGATGATCCAGAAGAGGATTGGGAGAATGTTATATGGTCAGATGAAACCAAAATATAACTTTTTGGTAAAAACTCAACTCCTCGTGTTTGGAGGACAAAGAATGCTGAGTTGCATCCAAAGAACACCATACCTACTGTGAAGCATGGGGGTGGAAACATCATGCTTTGGGGCTGTTTTTCTGCAAAGGGACCAGGATGACTAATCCGTGTAAAGGAAAGAATGAATGGGGCCATGTATCGTGAGATTTTGAGTGAAAACCTCCTTCCATCAGCAAGGGCATTGAAGATGAAACGTGGCTGGGTCTTTCAGCATGACAATGATCCCAAACACACCGCCCGGGCAACGAAGGAGTGGCTTCGTAAGAAGCATTTCAAGGTCCTGGAGTGGTCTAGCCAGTCTCCAGATCTCAACCCCATAGAAAATCTTTGGAGGGAGTTGAAAGTCCGTGTTGCCCAGCGACAGCCCTAAAACGTCACTGCTCTAGAGGAGATCTGCATGGAGGAATGGGCCAAAATACCAGCAACAGTGTGTGAAAACCTTGTGAAGACTTACAGAAAACGTTTGACCTGTGTCATTGCCAACAAAGGGTATATAACAAAGTATTGAGAAACTTTTGTTATTGACCAAATACTTATTTTCCACCATAATTTGCAAATAAATTCATTAAAAATCCTACAATGTGATTTTCTGGATTTTTCTTTCTCATTTTGTCCCTCATAGTTGACGTGTACCTATGATAAAAATTACAGGCCTCTCTCATCTTTTTAAGTGGGAGAACTTGCACAATTGGTGGCTGACTAAATACTTTTTTTCCCCACTGTATGTGTAGTGTTCAGTAAATCATTATATAGTATATGGGAGGGTACTGGTCCCACAGAGATCATATTAAATTACTATTACTAGTTCTATATGTAAGTAATTCTGTCTGTGGGACCAGTATCTACTGCAGCATTTGCTGGAATTATGTTCTGGGTGAAAGGGTCTCAGTGTCGAAGTACTGGTCTATGCAGCCGACTCCGGACAGCACAATGCCCCTATGACGGGGATTCTGTCCTTCTCCTTCTACCTGTCTCCCACTTACCTTCCCAACTGTTGAAATAAAATCTAAGAAACTAAAGTCCACCCCCCCCCCCCTTTTTTTTAAAGAGGGGGAAAAGATAAAGGGTTTCCGAGGTGAGAATGACTTGAAACTCACGGATCCTTCGGTGCAGCTGACGACCTGTCTGAACTCATGGCTATAGCCACAGCACAACACAGGCTCCTTGTGAGACACGATCAGATGTCCCTGGGGCTGGGGCCTGGAGGAGAAAAGAGGAGAAAGATGGTGAGGAGGAGAGAGGAGAGCAATGGAGAAGAAAGGAGAGTAGAGATGGTGAGGGGAGAAGAGAAATGGTGAGGTGAGGAGAGAGAGATGGTGAGGAGAAGAGTTGAACACATGAGAAAAGGAGAGGTGTGAAAACCATTACCTCAACCTGAATGACTTAAGATAACAAACCTTTATCTCTTTGATTAAAACCTGGTTTGAAAAAAAAATCTGTTATCATTCTTCCCTATTATCCTAGTATATTACCCTATGTACTTAATCCTAGTATATTTCCCTCTCATGTTGCCCTAGTTCAGGGATGGGCAACATGTACAGTGCATTCGGAAAGTATTCGGACCCCTTGACTTTTTCCACATTTTGTTACATTACAGCCTTATTCTAAAATTGATTAAATTGTTCTGTTTTTCCCCTCAGCAATCTACACACAATACCCCATAATGACAAAGCAAAAACAGGTTTTTAAAAATTGTTGCTAGTTTATTCAAAATAAAAAAATTGAAATATCACATTTACATAAATATTCAGACCCTTTACTCAGTACTTTGTTGAAGCACCTTTGGCAGCGATTACAGCCTAGAATCTTATTGGGTATGACGCTACAAGCTTGGCACACCTATATTTGGGGAGTTTCTCCCATTCTTCTCTGCAGATCCTCTCAAGCTCTGTCAGGTTTGATGGGGAGCGTTGCTGCACAGCTATTTTCAGGTCTCTCCAGAGACGTTAGATCAGGTTTAAGTCCGGGCTCTGGCTGGGACACTCAAGGACATTCAGAGACTTGTCCCGAAGCCACTTCTGTGTTGTCTTTGCTGTGTGCTTAGGGTCGTTGTCCTGTTGGAAGGTGAACCTTTGCCCCAGTCTGAAGTCCTGAGCGCTCTGGAGCAGGTTTTCATCAAGGATCTCTCTGTAATTTGCTCCGATCCTGACTAGTCTCTCAGTCCCTGCCACTGAAAAACATCCCCACAGCATGATGCTGCCACCACCATGCTTCACCGTAGGGATGGTGCCAGGTTTCCTCCAGACGTGACGCTTGGCATTCAGGCCAAAGAGTTCAATCTTGGTTTCATCAGACCAGAGATGGTTGTCCTTCTGGAAGGTTCTCCCATCTCCACAGAGGAACTCTAGAGCGCTGTCAGAGTGACCATTGGGTTCTTGGTCACCTCCCTAACCAAGGCCTTTCTCCCTCGATTGCTCAGTTTGGTTGGGCGGCCAGCACTAGGAAGAGTCTTGGTGGTTCCAAACTTCTTCCATTTAAGAATGATGGAGGCCACTGTGTTCTTGGGGACCTTCAATGCTGCAGAAATGTTTTGGTACCCTTCCGCAGATCTGTGCCTCGACACAATCCTATCTCGGAGCTCTACCGACAATTCCTTCGACCTCATGACTTGGTTTTTGCTCTGACATGCACTGTCAACTGTGGGACCTTATATAGACAGGTGTGTGCCTTCCCAAATCATGTCCAATCAATTGAATATACCACAGCCGGTGATTTCGTCAGCCGGTGATTGTGAAGCAAATAACTGTCGGTCTCACGGTAATTGACCATTAATTAACATAAACACATTTAGCATCTCCTGGCTTCCACACATAGCCTACAAGTTACTGGCAGACCTTCAGAACATCTACATTTAAAAAAGTATAATAAATCCATGTAATATAGCCTACACCTTCACAATAAATCCATTATTTATTTTAGACAGCTCTAAAGAAGAATGATATGAAGAAAATGTAGTCTATTTCAGAAGAAAATAATAGCAAACTCTGAGTTGTCCTTATGTTAGGTCCTGATGTGGCTATGCCAAATGGCTGTGGGCTACACTAGTTCATTTAGCAGACAAGATTTGCTTAGAATTCCGTGGCATTATTCTATATTATTTTATAGTATGATGAATACAATTGAACAAAGCTGAATAAAATATAAATATTTTCTCCAAACAATTTGAGGGAGTGCTGAGTGGTTAAATAAGAAATAACTCCTATATGCTTAATTTAGAGTTATTAATGTCACTTTAGTTGTTCTACAAACGTTGGGCTATCTGTTTAGATTTATAATACATTGTAAGGCTGCATGATGAGACTAATGATGATTTGAAAAAAGTCGCTTGAAAGGCATGAGCTCTGCTTTGTTTTTTGCGCAGGCTGTACACATTCCAATAGTCTCTCATTCACAAATTGACAAGCTCTTGACAAGCTCTCAAATTTCACGGTGGCATCCCCTTTGTGGCTGTAATGCACCCTAAAAAAATCCATGCCTTTTGAGGCCCGGAGTGCTGCGTTGTGCCCTTCTCCCTGAGTGCTGCGCAATCCGAAGCACCTCTCACTCACATGGCTCCCCATCACGTGATCACAGGCTAAAAGTGAAGACAGACACATCGGGGACGCAACTGCGTGTGTCCTTATCCAATTCCGAGGTGCATATTGAAGATATTGGAAGAACTGTCCACATGTACTTTTTGTCAGCCAACAAGATGAGTAGGCCTAACGAACAGCAAAAGCACTAGCCTATTTCAATCTACTATTCCCCATAGTACAAAAGTCGACCTATTCTATTCTGTGGGAGAAATTAATATTCCAAACATAGTCTGGGACAGTTGTGGGATGCAATAGATCCCAAATTAATACAACCACTAGCATAAAAAAAAACATTTTTTACGCAATGTGACTGACGCAACAGTTCAGAATGTTTAGCTTAAAATGTTGATAAACTATTAGGCTATTTCTTCACATTATAAGCGCAGCAATGTGCATATGGCAGTAGGCTATAAGTGCAAATGTCCCATTAGCGGGAAAAGTGACCACAAATGCGATTATGCATGTAATGCTTTTATTATAAAGCTGCATTTCTATGGTGAAAGTTATCATCCCCAAACTTGAAACTCATGCGCTGTTTATGTATGCCAGTTAGGCTCTAAACCCCTTGTAAAGCGGATTAATGTGCTTAATTTTAAGAAGTTATTTGGCCACTTTAGTTGTGATACAAACCTTATCAAAACATATAGGCCTATGGGCTAGGCTACATGAGGTGTGCGACTGTGATTAGAACAAGTCGCAAGAAAAGGCAGTATCTTATGCTGGGCATCATTCACAAGTGATAATATATAATTCACAAGTGATAGGCTAATATTGTCACCCATCAGACTATTCTTAATTTAATCTTGTCTTTACATATACTAAATAATATATGTGTGAAATTTGTTTTGATTTAGAATGGACCATTATCATGCACCTGTCTCAGAACAGGGGCAGCGGGAAAAAATTCATGTCATCTATGCACTTAAATAGCGAATGGAGGACGCTTATCCTGTGGTTCATTTTTATGCCAGCCAGGTAGGCTATACTCCTGTTGTAAAGATAAACAATGTGCTTAATATTAGGAAAGTTGAGAAATAAATATAGTAGGCCTAGTCTATAGAAAGCTGATGGGATCCTCCTCTTTTTAGTAGAGGCCATCACTTTTTTTTCAATTGCATAGCCTATAGAAATGTTGCGCAACATGAACTCATGGGCTCTCAGAGTGATTAGAGGGACAGTTGGTAGAGCATGGCGTTTGCAACGCCAGGGTTGTGGGTTCGTTTCCCACGGGGGGCCAGTATGAAAAAAATGTATGCACTCACTAACTGTAAGTCCCTCTGGATAAGAGCTTCTGCTAAATGACTAAAAATAAATCAAATAAAACAATAGAGTGCTGAGTACCAGGCAGTTAGCAAGTTTGGTATGCTACTAATGACCATAAGCATCATCAGAGTTTAGAGAAGCCTAATTACTGTGACTAAACGGTCACATGGAATTTGACTGCCTTCATGACTTGAGACCGCCGGTGTGGCGGTAATAATGTCACCGCAACAGCCCTAACCACAGGTGGACTCCAATCAAGTTGTAGAAACATCTCAAGGATGTAAATACATTTGCAACAATTTCTAAAAACCTGTTTTCGCTTTGTCATTATGGGGTATTGTGTGTAGATTTCTGAGGATTTGTATTTATTTAATCAATTTTAGAATAAGGCTGTAACATAACAAAATGTGGAAAAAGTCAAGGGGTCTGAATACTTTCCGAAGGCACTGTATATATATATATTTTGGAACTCAGTCGGGGTCTGAACTTACTGTTGAGAGTTAGAATAATAGAATACACAAGGTGCAATTTCGAAATTTGGTTGTGCATCAGCAGTCATTCAATTAGCTCATGTCAGCAAAAAGTATTTAGATTGGTAAGTTAGTCTAGCGGCCACCTATCTAAACTTGTAGTAAGCATGGTCAAATTACTGAACGGCGTGGGGCCCATTGATCATCAGTTATCATATTAAAAACTGCAAACATTTGCCTCCACCCTATGGAGGGTATGGATGTGGGTACGCAGATCCACAAGTCACTGCAGCCCCTCATGATGAGTTCTGTTTTTTTTGTGGCCACCAGCCCCATCAAAGTTGCCCATCCCTGCCCTAGGTGAACAAATAAGCCTTATTAACTCACAGGTGCAAATTTGACAGTATATTTCCTATTTAGTGGCACCCTAATGGTAAAAAATGGCACCCTATTCCCTATAAAGTGCACTACATTTGACCAGAGAGAAGTAGTGCATCATACAAAGCTATTCGCTGCTCTGGCACCCCAATGGTGGAACAAGCTCCCCCACGACGCCAGGACAGCGGAGTCACTGACCACCTTCCGGAGACACTTGAAACCCTACCTCTATAAGGAATACCTGGAATAGTATAACAGTAATCATTCTACCCCCCCCCCCCCAGAAAAAGGTGGTTGTCCCACTGGCTATCCTAAGTTGTAAGTCGCTCTGGATAAGAGCGTCTGCTAAAATGTAAATGTAAATGTATGGAATAGGGTGGCGTTTAAACCAAAGCCCAGTAGTAAAGTAACCAACCTGGTCCTGAGAGAGAGCAGCGCTAGTGAGTCTGCTGCAATGTACAGTGCTTTGGTGGAGGGAGAATACAGGCATGCAGAGGTGTCTCCACGGATGAGGCTGGCTTTGGGGTGGGCTGTGATGAGGCAGCTTTGGTCTTGGATATCCCAGATCTGAACGACAGACAGTCATCAATTATTTAAAGGGCCATTACACTCCAAAACCAACGTTTTCCAGATGTTTTCAGACGTCAAAAGTAGTCTAAGGTCAAGATGAATTCACATCCCTTGCTATCTGTTGTGTAGATACAGCTATATGCCTCCACTTTTCAACCCCAAATGAATGGAAAAGATGAGCACCACGAATCTAGATTACATTACATGGTGCTCCTCTTTTCCATTCATGGATTCTGGCCTATAGCTGCATCTACCAAACTGATGGCCTAGGGTGTGGACTTATCTCAACAGAAGATCAATTTTGAGGAAAGTCAGCCAATAAGTTCTAGTTTGAAGGAGAATTAAATGGTGTCCCACCTTGGCAGTGTTGTCCATAGAGACAGAGAAGATACGGTTTTCCTCTGAGGAGATGAAGAGGTAGAAGATGGGAGCAGAGTGTCCATTTAACACACCTGTGGGCTTCCTGTTATAGAACAACAACAGAGTGTCCCTTTAACACACCTGTGGGCTTCCTGTTATAGAACAACAACAGTGTCCCTTTAACACACCTGTGGGCTTCCTGTTATAGAACAACAACAGAGTGTCCCTTTAACACACCTGTGGGCTTCCTGTTATAGAACAACAACAGAGTGTCCCTTTAACACACCTGTGGGCTTCCTGTTATAGAACAACAACAGAGTGTTCCTTTAACAATGCCGGTGCCTTACTGCAGGGCTGGATCAAAAGCCTGTACACCCAGTAGATCTCTGAGACATAAGAGTTTCCTGTGCTTTTCCTCATTAGCTCATTCCTTTGGATGTGTCCAAATAAATGTCATTAGAAAACAGCTTAAACAAATGCAAATGCCGCTACTGTTGTTATTCTGGCTGCACTGTTTGACGTGACTGTCAGTTAGCCGTAGTTGGCTAGCTAGCAAGCAAGGGATAAGAACGTTGCCAGCCAGTATGGCAATGGAACATTTAGAACAAACGACTGGGTCGGGTCCATAGATACAGAACAAAAAGACTGAACGACTGGGTTGCGTTTCCTCACCCAGGGACGTATGTGTTCCACAGACGCAGCACCCTGTCCATCCCTCCGGTCACCAGCAGGTTGTGCTGTTTGCTGAGGTCAAAGGTCATGACGCCCTTGTAGACGGGGAAGACGGTCTGGTCACATGGTGCCCGGGGCTGAGGAGACCCATTGTTATTAGAAAGGGCCCTCCTGGCCTTCCCATCCCGACACACCTCCCTGATCTCCCTCATCTGCTGCTCGATGTTGGTGGACGGGAGAACGCAGCCTGGGTGTGAGATCAGAGCGTGTTGTTTCAAATTCATAAGTGATACATTCAATTATATCAATTAAGCATAAAAAGCACTAATATGCTGTTAAATATATGCGCATACCTACACTCTTACAGACAGACAGACAGACAGACAGACAGGCATACACACACGCATGCACGCACGATACACATACAGTGGGGAAAAAAAGTATTTAGTCAGCCACCAATTGTGCAAGTTCTCCCACTTAAAAAGATGAGAGAGGCCTGTAATTTTCATCATAGGTACACGTCAACTATGACAGACAAATTGAGAAAAATAAATCCAGAAAATCACATTGTAGGATTTTTTAGGAATTTTTTGCAAATTATGGTGGAAAATAAGTATTTGGTCACCTACAAACAAGCAAGATTTCTGGCTCTCACAGACCTGTAACTTCTTCTTTAAGAGGCTCCTCTGTCCTCCACTCGTTACCTGTATTAATGCCACCTGTTTGAACTTGTTATCAGTATAAAAGACACCTGTCCACAACCTCAAATCCGGAAGAGGATTGGGAGAATGTCATATGGTCAGATGAAACCAAAATAGAACTTTTTGGTAAAAACTCAACTCGTCGTGTTTGGAGGACAAAGAATGCTGAGTTGCATCCAAAGAACACCATACCTACTGTGAAGCATGGGGGTGGAAACATCATGCTTTGGGGCTGTTTTTCTGCAAAGGGACCAAGACGACTGATCCGTGTAAAGGAAAGAATGAATGGGGCCATGTATCGTGAGATTTTGAGTGAAAACCTCCTTCCATCAGCAAGGGCATTGAAGATGAAACGTGGCTGGGTCTTTCAGCATGACAATGATCCCAAACACACCGCCCGGGCAACAAAGGAGTGGCTTCGTAAGAAGCATTTCAAGGTCCTGGAGTGGCCTAGCCAGTCTCCAGATCTCAACCCCATAGAAAATCTTTGGAGGGAGTTGAAAGTCTGTGTTGCCCAGCGACAGCCCCAAAACATCACTGCTCTAGAGGAGATCTGCATGGAGGAATGGGCCAAAATACCAGCAACAGTGTGTGAAAACCTTGTGAAGACTTACAGAAAACGTTTGACCTGTGTCATTGCCAACAAAAGGTATATAACAAAGTATTGAGAAACGTTTGTTATTGACCAAATACTTATTTTCCACCATAATTTGCAAATAAATTCATAAAAAATCCTACAATGTGATTTTCTGGATTTTTTTTCTCATTTTGTCTGTCATAGTTGACGTGTACCTATGATGAAAATTACAGGCCTCTCTCATCTTTTTAAGTGGGAGAACTTGCACAATTGGTGGCTGACTAAATACTTTTTTCCCCACTGTACATAGACACGTCAACAGACACACACACACACACACATAACAGATTGTTGAACTTGATAGATGAGCCATGAGTCATCGCCGTCCAGAATGTTATTCAGAACAGATTAACATAAATTATATTACATGGAGACTGTAGTTTTTGACAGGTGCCTCTGCACATGATAAATATGCTGGATTAATTGCTGCTTTTCAGGTAAACACATCATTTTTAGGTTATAATGAGGCAGAAAGCCAGATAATTACTGATATTCTTTTCATAACCTGTGCTCTACAACATAACTCCCATACCAGAAGTGAATACCTATGTATTTTTTAAGAAAAAAAAAAGTGCTTTATTCAAAAAACATTACAAACAGCGTGGAAGAAAGATTAGGAGAAGACAACGTGGGAAGGTTGAAGACAGGTAACAAACCATAATTATACAACGGGTGGGTCTAATCCTGAATGCTGATTGGTTAAAACAGCATTCCAGCCGGTGTCTATTCCACAAGTTACCACCAGCTAAATCTATGACATAAATGCCTGTATTATATGTGTTATTGGCTAGCTCCTCTGAACAACAGTGTCCTGACAAGAGAGCACATTTTCTATGCCAGGCGAAATTGCGCCTCATTAGCTCATTGTTATGGATGTGTCCAAATAAATGTCATTAGAAAACAGCTTAAACAAATGCAAATGCCGCTTCTGTTGTTATTCTGGCTGCACTGTTTGACGTGACTGTCAGTTAGCCATAGTTGGCTAGCTAGCAAGCAAGGGATAAGAACGTTGCCAGCCAGTATGGCAATGGAACATTTAGAACAAACGACTGGGTCACGTCCATAGATACAGAACAAAAAGACTGAACGACTGGGTCGCGTCTCTGGCAACCGAACCAATAGAACAAACGACCAGCCGGCTTGGGTAGCAACCCTAGGTTTGTGTCGGGACTATATCTTGTGGAAGGATGAAATAGTATGAATAAATTCATCAAAATAAAGTTTTTAATGAAAATATGTCAGTCATTATTTGAATATGTTGGTAACCCGTTGTATAAAAGTGATAATGCCCTCGAAGCCAGTGTTTGGAGGATATACCCGTGCCAGCATATCTTCCAACACCGGCTTCTCGGGCATTATCACTTAAATGTACCTAGACCACCAGACTAAATGGCCTGCACACCAGAAGTGAGTTTGAACTTGAATACATCCAGCTGAGATGAGAATATTGATGTGACAATGAGTAATTACCTATGACGAGGGAAGAGGCTTCATGGTTGGAGGTGGAAACAATCGCACAAATGTCTGGAAAATATTTCACCTAAAATTGAAAATAAATCTCAAGGTATTGTTATGTGTAAAAATCACGATAATATACATACAGTGCCTTCAGAAAGTATTCATACCCCTTGACTTATTCCACATGTTGTTGTGTTACAGCCTGAATTCAAAATGGATTCAATAGATTATTTTCTCACCCATCTACACACAATACCCCATAATGACAGAGTGAAAACATGTTTTTAGAAATGTTTGCAAATGTATTGAAAATGAAATACAGAAATATCTAATTTAAGTATTCACACCCCTGAGTCAATACATGTTAGAATCACCTTTGGCAGTGATAACAGCTGTGAGTCTTTCTGGGATGAGTCTCTATTAAGAGCTTTGCACACCTGGATTGCACAATATTTGCACATTATTCTTTTACAAATTCTTCAAGCTCTGTCAAGTTGTTTGTTGATCATTGCCATTAAACTCTGTAACTGTTTTAAAGTCACCATTGGCCTCATGGTGAAATCCCTGAGCAGTTTCCTTCCTCGTCGCAACTGAGTTGGGAAGGACGCCTGTATCTTTGTAGTGACTGGGTGTATTGATACACCATCCAATGTGTAATTAATAACTTCACCATCCTCAAAGGGATATTCAATGTCTGTCTTTTTTTATACCATCTACCAATAGGTGCCCTTCTTTGCGAGGCATTGGAAAACCTCCCTGGTCGTTGTGGTTGAATCTGTGTTTGAAATTCACTGCTCGAATGAGGGACCTTAAAGATAATATGTGGAGTACAGAGATGAGGTAGTCATTCCAAAATCATGTTAAACAATGTTATTGTCCATGCAACTTATTATGTGACTTGTTAAGCACATTTTCACTCCTGAACTTATTTAGGCTTGCCATAACAAGGGGGTTGAATACTTATTGACTCAAGACATTTCAGCTGGTGAAGTGTATAAAAATTATGAGGAACATTATCAAGCAAAAGTACTTGTGAGATTTTAGGGGGCATATTTGTGCATCAGGGCCAGTATTCATGTTGAGTCTATGGGGAGAGAGGGGGTCCCCCTTTTTGTACCATACAGATAATCATCTAACAGGCAGAAATGGTTATTCAGTAGATAAACAGGGATCCCAGTGTGCATCGAGAAATAATAAACATCACCTTTGTCACCCAGTCCTGGTGGACCTTCCATCGAATGTATGTCACATTCGGAGAAAGCACTGCGTTGTCTATCCCTATGTTAGGCACATTCTCAATCTTTGGTAATTTCTTCCACATTCTGCAAATAAAGATGTAGAACTGTATGAAATGGCACTAACTTATAGTTACAGTTACAGTGTTGGCACAAAGATGTTTGGCTGTCACATGTTCTGTGCGAGTACGACCAATCTGGTCAATGACATCACATTCCCAAATTAGTTACCAGTAAAGATATTACAAATTAAAAAAGGAATAATTTGAAATGTTTCTATTTTTGTGTGCAAACCACCCTTCTTATCACATAATCCAAAAACAGAAATAGTAGATTTGTGTATCACTCAAAGCCTCAAATTAGGCTACTAAGCTATAAATCGTCATGGAAACAGTAGACAGGCATTTTAAGTTACATTTGCCTTTTTTCCTAATGCTTTTTTGTTGCCTTGAGAATTTGCCTTTAAGATGATGATGCATTCCTGTGGTAGTTCAATAGATGCATAAAGATAATATTAAAAAAACCTGTTTACCTCAGCGTCTCCCCCACGGAGGTAATTAATATGATATTCACGCAGCCCTAGAAAGCAGAAAGAGAAGAATAACCCTTCATAATTAATCAGCTTAGTGGCATTTAACTTTTCCCGTCTGGTAATTGAATTTGTTGTCAAGCAGAGAGAGGACTTTAATTACCTGGGAGTCTCCATACAGAATAGAACACTCATCAGGTCCAGTGTAGCTGAGGGGAGAGAAAGACAGGAATACCAGTAAAGCAGGTCTCAGATCAGGTTAGACATTAGTGAGACATGGTTTAGGCTGCCAGTGTGTGATGTGGTTTTAGCGAGACATGGTTTAGGCTGACAGTGTGTGATCTGGTATTAGTGAGACATGGTTTAGGCTGCCAGTCTGTGATGTGGTTTTAGCGAGACATGATTTAGGCTGCCAGTATGTGATCTGGTATTAGTGAGACATGGTTTAGGCTGCCAGTGTGTGATGTGGTTTTAGCGAGACATGGTTTAGGCTGCCAGTGTGTGATCTGGTCTTAGTGAGACATGATTTAGGCTGCCAGTGTGTGATCTGGTATTAGTGAGACATGGTTTAGGCTGCCAGTGTGTGATGTGGTTTTAGCAAGACAGGATTTAGGCTGCCAGTGTGTGGGAACCAGTATGTTAGCGAGACATGATTTAGGCTGCCTGTGTGTGATCTGGTATAAGTGAGACATGGTGCAGGCTGCCAGTGTGGGATCCAGCATGTTAGCGAGACATGGTGCAGGCTGCCAGTGTGTGATCTGGTATTACATGGTTTAAGCTGCCAGTGAGTGCGAGACTAGATGCTCACCAGTAGTCCAATCTCAGAGGGACAGTCTCCAGGGCACTGATCTGACAGTAAGGCTCTAGAGAGGACAGCTCATACAACTGGATCTCTCTGTCTCTGTAACACAGGACACACCGACAGGAACGTTGTCCCTGGTTGCATTCCAAATGGCACCCTATTCCCTAGGCCTAGTGCACTTCTTTTGAACAGGGCCCATGGTCAAAAGTAATACACGATATAGGGAATAGGATGCCGTTTGGGTCGCAGCCTCTAACTGGTACCATGGGTATAACAGGTCACACCTCTGTTCAACTGAGACTCAGCGATATGGGACGTGAACACGAGCAGTGGTCGAACACAGATGTTGTCTAGAGAGTGCATAACAACAGGCTGCACTAACACAAGTCATTTGTACAAAAGTAATGCTCTAGTTACTTTTCAGCTAAGCCTACATTCTGAAACAGACAATACAGTTCTTACCCTGTTCCGATGATAAGTTTGTTGTACTGTGGCATGGTGATGAAATCAGTTGCCCATTTTGGTTTTCTGCTCACAGGTCTTTCATGCTGCATTCAAAGCAAATCATTGAATTGAATTTATGCAAATGACAGCATACATGCTCCTCCGAGAATGGTGTGATCCTACATAAACAAGGACAAGTCTACATCCTCACACTTCAAAACTACTCACACACACACACACACACACATACATACAAACACGCTCTTGCTCCTCTTCAGGTTGAGCTCAGGGCTCCAGTAGTAGACAGCCCCGTCCTCGCAGACGGTGATGATGGTGCCATCGGGGGTGGAGTGGATGCGCAGAACGGGCTCTCCGTGGCACAGGGCCCTGACCGTGGCAGGCAGGGAGAAAGCCACCTGTTTGCTGCGCCACGCTGACTCCTCCTTCTCTGTGTACTCCAACTGCATGTACGTACAGAACTCATCCTGCAGGAGATAGGGCAATGTCAAATCAATATGGTACTTTATTTATCCCACAAGCTGCAATAGGCAATAATGCAGGCAAGCAGTGCGAATACATATGACAAATAACATGAGAGATATCAAATGGAACATTGAGATATTAGTTATTAAAAACATGTGTGGTGTAATGATAGAAGTGCAACTCAAGAGTGATCATCAGCAGTTGTGACACACATATTTGTACCATATACTCTATAAATGGGGTATCAAACTAAGTTCCTGGGACCAGGCTAAAACAAAATCTTTGTTAGCCATGGAATCAAACCCAAACATTTTGAAGGCCAGTTTCATGGAAATTGTACTTCATATTTTGAAATGAATTTGTTCTTGTCAATTGCTTTCCTCAGGCAATCACCATTCCACTGTAAGGGGAATAAATATTTTGTGACCTGAGTAAAGGAAATGAATCTCATCATCTCACCCATTCAATCCTCCCCTGGCCAGAATAATCGATCTTCATGAATAGTTCTTGGATCTGGGCATTGTTCTGACGTTCACAGGACAAAGGAATGATGGAACAGACAATAACAACATAGCTGAGTTCAAACATCATTATCAGTGTTGTTTAAAATACAATGAAACATTTACAGTGTGACAAATAGAAAACTATTTTATTGAAAGAGAGAGAGAGAGAGAGAGAGAGAGAGAGAGAGAGAGATCAGCCACAGAGGAGGGAGGGGGAGAGAGAGAGACAGAGACAGAGAGACAGAGACCGCAAGAGAGGAAGAGAGAGATCTATTTCACTTTCTTTGGCAATGTAAACATATGTTTCCCATGCCAATAAAGCCCTTTGAATTGAATTGAATTGAGAGAGAGAAAGAGACAGAGATAAGGGCCAGAGATCCATTCATTTATTAATCTATCTGTCTGATAATTAAAAGGTGGGTCTTCTTGGTGCTTTTCCAGTTCCATTGACACGTACTATGTTGTGTAAGTCCAAACACTTCTTCACTATCAGTCCAAAGTTGAACACGTCCAGCGATCTTAGGCCACCCATTTCAAATTCCTGCAGAGGAGAAGGTGTCATTAAATGCATTGGATCACTGAATTCCAAATTGACTCCAAGGCCCTACATCCTAGGTACTTCTGTAGATTTGAGGATTGGATATTCATTATAGTAATAGCTTAATCTTGCCTTCTGATTGACTGGATATAATTGTTTCCGCCTATCAATCCTCTCAGATCTCCAGGATTGGCTAGGGTTCGATTGGAATTCAACGCATACAATACCAGCCAAAAGATTGGACACACCTACTCATTCCAGGGTTTTTCTTCATTTTAATTTTTTCTACATTGTAGAATAACAGTGAAGACATCAAAACTATGAAATAACACATATGTAATCATGTAGTAACCAAAAATGTGTTAAACAAATCAAAATATATGTTATATTTGAGATTCTTCAAAGTAGCCACCCTTTGCCTTGATGACAGCTTCGAACACTCTTGGCATTCTCTCAACCAGCTTCATGAGGTAGTCACCTGGAATGCATTTCAATTAACAGGTGTGCCTTGTTAAAAATGAATTTGTGGAGTTTCTTTCCTTCTTACCTCCCGAGTGGCGCAGTGGTCTAAGGCACTGCGCAACTAGAGATCCTGGTTCGAATCCAGGCTCTGTCGTAGCTGGCCGCGACCGGGAGACCCATGGGGCGGCGCACAATTGGCCCAGCGTATGGGAGGGAATGGCCGGCAGGGATGTAGCTCAGTTGGTAGAGCATGGCGTTTGCAACGCCAGGGTTGTGGGTTCGATTCCCATGGGGGGCCAGTATGAAAAATAAAAAAAATGTATGCACTCACTAACTGTAAGTCGCTCTGGATAAGAGCATCTGCTAAATGACTCAAATGTAAAAATGTCAAATGAAATGTGTTTAAGCCAATCAGTTGTGTTGTGGCAAGGTAGGGGTGGTATACAGAAGATAGCCCTATTTGGTAAAAGACCAAGTCCATATTATGGCAAGAACAGTTCAAATGAGCAAAGAGAAACGACAGTCCATCATTAAGACATGAAGGTCAGTCAATCCAGACAATTTCAAGAACTTTGCAAGTTTATTCAAGTGCAGTCGCAAAAACCATCAAGCGCTATGATGAAACTGGCTCTCATGAGGACCACCACAGGAAAGGAAGACCCAGAGTTACCTCTGCTGCAGAGGATAAGTTCATTAGAGTTAACTGCACCTCAGATTGCAGCCCAAATAAATGCTTCACAGAGTTCAAGTAACAGACACATCTCATCATCAACTGTTCAGAGGAGACTGTGAATTTTTATTTATTTAACAAGGCAGTTAAGAACAAATTCTTATTTACAATGACGGCCTACACCGGCCAAACACGGACGATGCTGGGCCAATTGTGCGCCGCCCTTTGGGACTCCCAATCACGGCAGGTTGTGATACAGCCTGGAATCGAACCAGGGGGTCTGTAGTGATGCCTCAAGCACTGAGATGCAGTGCCTTAGACCTTCATGGTCGAATTGCTGCAAAGAAACCACTACTAAAGGACACCAATAAGAAGAAGAGACTTGCTTGGGCCAAGAAACATGAGCAATGGACATTAGACCGGTGAAATCTCTCCTTTGTTCTGATGAGTCCAAATTTGAGATTTTTGGTTGCAACCGCTGTGTCTTTGTGAGACGCAGAGTAGGTGAACGAATGATCTCCGCATATGTGGTTCCCACCGTAAAGCATTGGTGCTTTGCTGGTGACACTGTCTGTGATTTATTTAGAATTCATGGCACACTTAACCAGCATGGCTACCACAGTATTCTGCAGCGATACGCCATCCCATCTGGTTTGCGCTTAGTGGGACTATCATTTGTTTTTCAACAGGACAATGACCCAAAACACACCTCCAGGCTGTGTAAGGGCTATTTGACCAAGAAGGAGAGTGATGGAGTGCTGCATCAGATGACCTCGCCTCCACATTCACCCGACCTCAACCCAATTGAGATGGGATGAGTTGGACCGCAGAGTGAAGGAAAAGCAGCCAACAAGTGCTCAGCATATGTAGGAACTCCTTCAAGACTGTTGGAAAAGCATTCCAGGTGACTACCTCATGAAGCTGGTTGAGAGAATGCCAAGAGTGTGCAAAGCTGTCATCAAGGCAAAGAGTGGCTACTTTGAAGAATCTAAATATAAAATATATTTTGATTTGTTTAACACTTTTTTGGTTGCTACATGATTCTATATGTGTTATTTCATAGTTTTGACATCTTCAATATTATTCTACAATGTAGAAAATAGTTAAAGTAAAGAAAAACCCTTGAATGAGTAGGTGTGTCCAAACTTTTGACTGGTACTGTATATCCATAAGGAATGACAATACTAGGTCATCCCAACAACACATTCTCAAACCATAGCAGAAATGTACCTCAAAGGCCAGCTTGAGCTTTTTCAGGCTTTCAAGGGATACTCTCTGCTCAATCTATTTGAAAAAAAGATCAATTATTGTCATTATAGTGTCACAAATTATATTTTTTGAAAGTAATTCCACACAGGAATGAACAGAAACTTCAGATCAACGCAGTGTTTTAATATACGATGAGATAAATATGGAAGTGGAACAATTTTTCATAATTGTTCCATTACCTCGGGATAATGAAGAAGAGTGAAATAACAAGGAGAGGTGGAGAGGTGACAGATCAAACTGCTCCTTCAATTTTCACAGCCCATGCAAGACTCCACTTACCAGCCAGTTAATGAACTCAGAGCGCTAGAGATACAAGGCAAGGGAGGGGAGGGGACGATGTTGAGAGAGGACTCTGGCTAACATGGCACACCATTTCCATTTCATTAACAACACACATCAATAGGTGCCACCTTTGAGTGGTGGTTCGACCCCCATTTTAGTGGCCCTGAGATGCAGGCATCAATCATACACACACTCACAAACACTCATACACACAATACAATATTACACACGCATACACACACATACACACACACACACACGTAACATTATTGCTTCCGTCCCTCTCCTTGTCCCAACCTGGGCTTGAACTAGGGACCCTCTGAACACAACTGCCACCCAAGAAGCATCGTTTCCTATTGCTCCACAAAAGCTGTGTCCCTTGCCCCGTGTAGCTCAGTTGGTAGAGCATGGCGCTTGCAACGCCAGGGTTGTGGGTTCGTTTCCCACAGGGGGCCAGTATGAAAAAATTTATCCACTCACTAACTGTAAGTCACTCTGGATAAGAGCGTCTGCTAAATGACTAAAATGTAAATGTAAATGTAATGATATACATTCAATCTCACACTGCACACACAAAGTGGAGGGTGGGGAGGGCAAGGAACATGCATCTCTGTATGTTCCTAGGGGGAGGGGGGTGTGACACCTTGACATGGTGACATGCCATGCTCTCTGTAATAATGGCCTCTCTCAGATGTGACAGCCAGGGTCTCCTAGCAACAGGCCTTTCATCCAGGGAGCCTCTTTGGTCTGTCTTTAATAAGTATCAGGGATAAACACACTGGCAAACTCCTGGACTGCCTGTGTGAGTGTGTGCAAGTGTGTATTGCTGATGTGAAATGACTAGCTAGTTAGCGGATGGGAAATGACTAGCTAGTTAGCGGATGGGAAATGACTAGCTAGTTAGCGGATGGGAAATGACTAGCTAGTTAGCGGATGGGAAATGACTAGCTAGTTAGCGGATGGGAAATGACTAGCTAGTTAGCGGATGGGAAATGTGGGTGTGTACTATATAGCAACAGTTAACTTACTAGTGGAGATAGAGAATTTAATCAATCATTACATTTTGGGTGCATTTGAAATATGTTTAACCACACTATTCAGCATCAAACACAGGGACTATGCCAGGGTTCTAACAGGAGCCATCACAACGCTAGAAGAAATGGTGCTATATAGAACCGAAAAGTGTTAAAGGGTTTGTTTCATATAGCCATCAAAATGTTCTATAAAGAACCACAAAGCATTCTTATTGTTTAGCAGTGCAGGACAATCATTATTTATCAGTCTCATTAACCCCATTGCTCTCCAAATCCTTCTACTGACTGACTTCTACTATTGACTCCATTAATAGGCAGAATGTACCTGCTATCACATGGAAGTCCTTAAAGGGGCAATCTGGGATTGGTACATCCATTTGTTTTACTTTTACTTAATGATATATGGCCATTGATTGTTAATGGATATAACTTAACCTCTTGAGCTTAGTTCACCTGTTTGACACCAGCAGAACCCAAAATGTAAGGTTGTTTTACTGTATTGTTTGTAATCAATGTATAATTGTAAACAAACATTGTAGAGCTTCAAAACATAGTTCAAACTACCATTTTGATATCATGGATGGTCAGTCCTTGCATCCGTAGCTCCATCTATTTTAGAGTGATTACATTTTTCCAGCCCGATCCCTGGCCCTTTAATTAACAGGTAAACTATAAACAGAATCTGCTCTCTAGCCGAGCTATTTCAGCAGAGCAGTATTCTCATTAGATGACCAAAGCCAGAAGAGGCTAGCCTGGAATCCACACAGAATATTGCTCTGTTTCACTATTGTCTGACTTTACTGAATAGAGCAATGTTCAGTGTTAATTCCAGTGACAGTCTATTAAGAAGAGACATTTATAGACAGACAACTGTAGTGGCCAGGGTTCAGGTCAATTCCGTTTTCAATAAAGTAAATTCATGAATTGAAAACTGTCCATTATCTTCAATTAACTTCCTAGATTTCTGGAATGGACTCAATTTAGTAGTGACAGTTTGGGATTACTCCCCTTTCTCCAGTCAGGTTGAAGGCTGTTATTTGTATCAATGGAAATCCATTTAGCAAGACCCAGTAATTGTGTCTGTCTTAGTTCGGATCTAAAACAAGGCCTTCACTGGTCCTGATAAATTGCCCCTAATTCGCTGCCTGCCCAAGTCCCTGTCAGGTAATGAGAAAATTTATTCTCAACTTGATTCAAAATGTAATTTCTGGCATAACCTCAAATGAATTCCTCTTGTGGGTGTCTGTGGGGAGGGAAGGGGACCGATGGGGGAATGAGGCAGAACCTCAGCTGACACTCTACTGACACCTTGAGGTTAAACTCATCATGATAGAGACTCTATGAGTCAGTCAGTCAGCGTTTCAGTTTGGTATAAAGCTAAGGGATGGGGCTGGTGAAATGTAACCATTCTCAAATTCATAGAGGGGTCAAACAAGCAAAACAAATATTCAAATGTTTGTGTAACATTACCTTTCTAGGCACCAGTACCCAATTCGTTTTTAATTCATCAAGACTGTCTGACTTTTGTTGGAGAGAAGCAACACAAAGAAAATTACATTTGCTCTTCCACTATTCCAGAGCTTGTTACATCCTCATGGAGACACGTTCATGGATAGTGAACATGTAGGCCACTGATCCGTTAGCAACCCTGACGTCTGTCTATACATGTCTCTAAGTAACAGATGCCCAACAAACCTTCCTCTGCTGCTGGCTGGTAACCAATGCCTGGCAACACCACCCAGGGTATGAGGAGGGTAATGGGTTGACAGTCACAGACCATATAATAATCACACAACATCAAACCACATTCATCTTCCAAAATGAGTTTGTAAGACCTACAACGAGGATAAATATTAAAGCGAATAATTAAAAAGCCGACTTCTGTACTAAAAACTATGGGACAGGTGGAGATCGAATTTGAATATTGAAACAATGTTGCAAATGTCGGAGAGTCAGACAGCAAGGTTTATACAAATCTCCGCTGTTGAAAACTAAATGTTAGTCTAAAAGAAATGTGAGATAATGTCTAGATGCTTTTTATAGTAGAGATCAAGTTTATAAATTGCTTGGCTGGTCTGATGAGACAGTGGATTGTGCAGTCAGATGGAACAGAGTAAATAGGCATTTTAACGTCATAGATTTAGCCAGTGGTAACTTGTGGAATAGACCCACCCATTGTATAATGGGCAACAACGTATTTTGCTTTTTAGTCTAGGCTTAGTCTCGGTCCGGGAAACTGTCCTTTAGGGTGGTATACCTTAAGCTTGCTGAAGCTGCGTGTGGGATCGTCACTGTAGAGCAGTCGTGACCTCAGTTTGACCTGGTCTCCCAGGGTTACAGAGTGGCGGCGGTTCTCCTGTCTCAGTAGCTCACGCTCCAGCCACTTAGGAGGTGGCCTGTCCTCTGACAAGGCCCCCAGGTACACCCTCGCGACACCAGGGGCCAATCTCTCTCCCCGCTGCTCTGGCCCCGACGTCTTAGTCCCTCGCTCTCCTGCACTCCCCAGCTCAGCAAGGATGCTGTGGAAGAAGAACCCAAAAGTCTCAGGTTATGTCCAGAAAAGAAGACCCTGTTTGAATACTTTGAAAATGCATCCTTCCTTCCTCCCTTCCTTGAAGTAATCACTGAACTAACACACATTGACAGGTATAAGCCAATGGTTCTATCACAGCTTTCACCAATCTAGGCATTTCAGATCAGGAATGTAGGCCTAGGAAGGGAGGATAGGTGGGTGCATTGTTCAAATATTCCAACAGGGCAAAACCCTACTCCCCCTAGGCACAAAAGGATAGACATAAACAGAAAATTGTAGTAGCTCCACCTTGCCCTCTGATAGGCTTGGTAGGACTTTCACTGTACCGATCAAATCCTTTCAGATGTCCACAATTGCCAAGGAAGTAGGGGATAGGGTTGTTTCTGGACATTAAAATAAATACAAGTTAATAATTGTAATAATTGGCATGTCTAAGCAGAATGAAGTGCTGTATGCAAATTCTGGTTTAACTTCTAGAAATATGCTTTAAATATGCAAATCTGTAATAATTAAGTCTCAGACTTCACAGTGTTGTGTAATTGGTGCTGTGACCTAGAGGGGATTCAACCTTACATTTCCTTGCTCATTACACAAACAGCCAAATTCAGATATTTTCCCAACTAATTGGTCTTTTGAACAATCACATCAGCTCTTTTCACATCAGATCTTTTTCAGAGCTGATCTGATTGGTCAAAAGACCAATTCTTGAAGAAAAAAAAGATCAGAATTGGGCTGGCTGCATCTACACAGGCAGCCCAATTCTGATATTTTTTTTCATGAATTGTTCTTTTGACCAACCAGATCACCTCTGAAAAAGATCTGATGTGAAAATATCTGATGTGATTGGTCAAAAGACCAATTAGTTAGAAAAATATCAGAATTGGGCTGCCTGTATAAACGCAGCCTTAGAGACTTAGAGCTTAAAGCTCAGTGTCAATGTTGTGAGAGGGAGGAAAGCCCTGTTTGAAGCTACATCCACCAGATAATTGAGTCAGTTTCAAAAGCCTTCCAGACAACCCAACCACATAGCAGACTCCGAGAAGACAGGGGTTGCAAATGAAGTTGTTCCTTATGTAATATGCGGTAGATAACTACTGTACATCAGCGGGAGTCCGTGTGTATAGCAGAATGTCACGATCGTCTAATGAGGAGGACCAAGGCGCAGCGTTGAAAGTGAACATAGTATTTATTAAACTGATCACACGATCAAAATAACTGACGAAAACGTGATGTCTCTGGTTACATACACAAACCAAAATGAGAACAAGAACCACAACACAAAGTGAAAAGACCGATAGTTAAATATGGCTCCCATCAGAGACAACCAGCTGACACATGTTGCCTCTGATTGGGAGTCACTCAGGCCAACATAGATATACAAAACATAGACTTACACACCCTGGCTCAACATAACATAGTCCCCAGAGCCAGGGCGTGACAGTACCCCCCCCCAAAGGCGCGGACTCCGGCCGGGCCAAACAACCACAACAGGGGAGGGACCGGGTGGGCACTCCGCCTCGGCGGCGGATCCGGCTCCGGACATGACCCAGGCACGGGTTGTGCTGGACTGACGACGCACAACCCTGGCTTGATGCGTGGAGGAGGAACGGGCCAGACCGGGCTGACGAAGCGCACCACTGACCTGGTGCGGGGAGCAGGAATGAGCCGGACCGGGCTGACGACGCGCACCACTGACCTGGTGCGGGGAGCTTGGATGGGCCGGACTGGGCTGGCGACGCGCACCACAGACTTGGTGCGGAGAGCAGGAACGGGCCGGACAGGGCTGACGAAACGCACCATAGACTTGGTGCGGAGAGCAGGCACGGGCCGTGCCGGACTGACGACGCACACCACTGGCTTGGTGCGGGAAGCTTGGATGGGCCGGACTGGGCTGGCGACGCGCACCACAGACTTGGTGCGGAGAGCAGGAACGGGCCGTGCCGGACTGACGAAACGCACCATAGACTTGGTGCGGAGAGCAGGCACGGGCCGTGCCGGACTGACGACGCACACCACTGGCTTGGTGCGGGAAGCTTGGATGGGCCGGACTGTACTGGGGACACACACCACTGGCCCTACACCGGGATCTGGAACGGGCCGGACCGGACTGGCAACACACGCCAGTACCTCTCGCCGTGCCTCTACTTCCTCCATCCCCTCTTCGACCAATGGCATCCGTAACCCGGCGGCCTCCTCCGGCAACCCACTGGGCCGCTCTATCGCGGCCTCCTGCTGGTCCGACGTCGTGAGCCCCCCCCTAAAAATTTTCTGGGGTTCTCTCCTCCCCGTGGGCCAGGCCTCCATCATTCTCGCCCACCTCTCGCTCCTCTGTCTCCAACCCTCGTCACTCAGCTCCTCAATGGGCTTGACCCAGTCGAAGCTGCCAGGGAGATCTGCCAGCGCTTTCCCTGGCGATGGCTCCTCGACTCGCTGCTTGGTCCAGTTGAGGTGGTTTCTTCTGTCACGATCGTCTAATGAGGAGGACCAAGGCGCAGCGTTGAAAGTGAACATAGTATTTATTAAACTGATCACACGATCAAAATAACTGACGAAAACGTGATGTCTCTGGTTACATACACAAACCAAAAATGAGAACAAGAAACCACAACACAAAGTGAAAAGACCGATAGTTAAATATGGCTCCCAATCAGAGACAACCAGCTGACACATGTTGCCTCTGATTGGGAGTCACTCAGGCCAACATAGATATACAAAACATAGACTTACACACCCTGGCTCAACATAACATAGTCCCCAGAGCCAGGGCGTGACACAGAACTTCTCTGTGAGGATCTAAACTTTGCTTGACACAGCCGAGCCAGTTTTACGACAAACTCTGCATGATCTGGCAATTACATTTTGTTTACCAAACAGAAGATAGGAAGGGGGCTAGGAATAACAGCATTAAAATCTTATCAAATCTGGGGAAATGTATTTATCGGAGCTCAAATTAATTAGGCTTCCAGTGCTACATGGTAAATGTAGATCTGTGCCACCGAGGCCGCCTCCACAACCCCTTGACAACAGTCAACAGGCTCTGAAAAACAGGTGTTCTGCTCCTGTGGAGAGCAACAACATGGCAGTGCAACAACGCAGAAGCCTCAACCCAAATCACCCCGTCACCCCAGCTCAACCCAGTCAGCCCCATGCTGAGATGAAAGCCCACAGTGGAAAACAGCATGTGATAATCAATTAGAAAACCAGCATGGAATCTGCTGTTAAAAGCAACACCAACACAGTGGCTCATGACTGACTCTCAAACTGACAGGAGACAAAGCAGAGCAGAAGCAGAATACCTGGACACATTCTGAATCTCTAGTTTCCCAGCAGCTGAAGAAGGGCGAACTTTCTTCCCCAGCGGCATCCCAGTAGTCTTTGTATGTCTGTGTCTGTCTGTAGGTATGTATGTATGTATGTCTGTCTGTCTGTCTGTCTGTCTGTCTGTCTGTCTGTCTGTCTGTCTGTCTGTCTGTCTGTCTGTCTGTCTGTCTGTCTGTCTGTCTGTCTGTCTGTCTGTCTGTCTGTCTGTCTGTCTGTCTGTCTGTCTGTCTGTCTGTCTGTCTGTCTGTCAGCCTGGTCCAGTGTTCACTTGTCTGTTAGAGTGGAGGAAATGGAGGAGCTCAGCACTTCAGAGCCAGTCCAGCCCACAGCCTCTGCTTCTCCAGGTCTCACATTACCTGACACTCTAGAATTTCACCTGGACTCGTGGGTGGCTCTCTGGTCACTAAGATACTCTCTGGTAACTAAGATACTAAGATAACTACTGGATGCATTGCTGCTAATATTGTCTGTTCCACAGAGCAGACAGAACCTTGGATTAGATCTAAAGGGCACCACCCTATTGGTGTAAACCTGCGTTATTGTCATGTAACTACCATGATATAATGATGGTATTACACTACTGACTGTCTCTGAAACCTCATTCTGAAGCCTTCTAAAACGTAAGACTACAGTTGATAAATGTGAGGTTTGGTTCTGGAATTATGGTAACACTGCACCAAATAAGCATTTGATTCAACTAGATAAAACACAGCAAGTAAAACTGCACTTACATCTATGATATCTACAGTACAACACGCTAAAATAGTAAATCAATGGATTGCTGTTATTGAGTACTGTTATAGTTAGATGGCAGATGTAAACAGAAGTATCGTTGCACTAAATTCATTGGCTTTATTTTCAGAAATGTCAAGGCAGTTACAACACTGCAAATAAAGCCCTTAACCAACAATGCAGTTTTAAGAAAAAAATCACCAAAAAATACAATATAAAAATACGAAATAAAAGTAACAAATAATTAAAGAGCAGCAGTAAAAATAACAATAGCGAAGCTATATACAGGGGGAACGGGTACCGAGTCAATGTGCGGGGGCACCGGTTAGTCGAGGTAATTGGGGTAATATGTACATGTAGGTAGAGTTATTAAAGTGACTATGCATAGATAATAAACAGAGAGTAGCAGCAGCGTAAAAGAGGGGTGGGGGGCAATGAAAATAGTCTGGGTAGCCATTTCATTAGATGTTCAGGAGTCTTATGGCTTGGGGGTAGAAGCTGTTTAGAAGCCTCTTTGACCTAGACTTGGCGCTCCGGTACCGCTTGCCGTGCGGTAGCAGAGAGAACAGTCTAAGACTAGGGTGGCTGGATTCTTTGACAATTTTTAGGGCCTTCCTCTGACACCGCCTGGTATAGAGGTCCTGGATGGCAGGAAGCTTGGCCCCAGTGATGTACTGGGCCGTACGCATTACCCTCTGTAGTGCCTTGCGGTTGGAGGCCGAGCAGTTTCCATACCAGGCAGTGATGCAACCAGTCAGGATGCTCTCGATGGTGCAGCTGTAGAACCTTTTGAGGATCTGAGGACAAATGCTAATATTCCATACTTGTCAAAAGAAAAGGGAATAAGATGCCTTATAGCAGCTGCAGCTCGCCCATTAGGGTGTTAGGGGCGGTGCCCCACTTGTGATTGGTCAAAAACAAAAAAAGTACTCTTATTTTTATTCAAATACAGTGGCTTGTGAAAGTATTCACCTCCCTTGTCATTTTTCCTATTTTGTTGCCTTACAACCTGGAATTAAAATTGATTTTGGGGGGGGTTGTATCATTTGATTTACACAACATGCCAACCACTTTGAAGATGCAAAATATGTTTTATTGTGAAACAAACAAGAAATAAGACAAAAAAACAGAAAACTTGAGCATGCATAACTATTCACCAAGAATTTCCCTGTATTTAGCGCCATCCATCATTCCTTCAATTCTGACCAGTTTCCCAGTCCCTGCCGATGAAAAACATCCCCACAGCATGATGCTGCCACCACTATGCTTCACTGTGGATGGTGTTCTCTGGGTGATGAGAGGTGTTGGGTTTGCGCCAGACATAGTGTTTTCCTTGATAGCCAAAAAAGCTCAATTTTAGTTTAATCTGACCAGAGTACCTTCTTCCATATGTTTGGGGAGTCTCCTACATGCCTTTTGGCGAACACCAAACATGTTTGCTTATTTTTTTCTTTAAGAAATTGCGTCTGAGTCTTTTGCGCCAGACATCTTACTTCCGCACGTGAGAATAGATCTGCTCTAAAGCAAAAAGCAAAAAGCAATAATGAACTTGTAAATAAATATTCATAACAGTCATGGGAGCCTGGGAGCCTGAGACCTGATAAACCAGACAACTACATCCAACAACAAGAGCCGAAGGACAGAAGGATACACTAGCTAGAACCTTCTCATCGTGGATCTGGTAGGACAAAAAAGCATGGCCAATTGTATTGTTTCCCCCCATGTTGTTTATCAGGTTCTGTTGTAGGTGACTGGGAGACATGTTGTGTGGACTAAAATAACATACAACCGGATGATTCACAAAGCATGTTCAAATTAAATAGCCAGCTACAGTAATATTTTGAAACATTTAGATTTTTTTTTCTTCAAATTAACTAGTTATCTACCTTTAACATTTACATTTACATTTATGTAATTTAGCAGACGCTCTTATCAAGAGTGACTTACAAATTGGTGCATTCACCTTATAGCCAGTGGGATAACCACTTTACAATATGTTTTTTTTTTCTTTCTTTCTTTGGGGTGGGGTAAGGGGGGATAGAAGGATTACTTTATCCTATCCCAGGTATTCCTTAAAGAGGTGGGGTTTCAAGTGTTTTCGGAAGGTGGTGAGTGACTCCGCTGTCCTAGCGTCGTGAGGGAGCTTGTTCCACCATTGGGGTGCCAGAGCAGCGAACAGTTTTGACTGGGCTGAGCGGGAACTGTGCTTCCGCAGAGGTAGGGGGGCCAGCAGGCCAGAGGTGGATGAACGCAATGCCCTCATTTGGGTGTAGGGACTGATCAGAGCCTGACGGTACGGAGGTGCCGTTCCCCTCACAGCTCCGTAGGCAAGCACCATGGTCTTGTAGCAGATGCGAGCTTCAACTGGAAGCCAGTGGAGTGTGCGGAGGAGCGGGGTGACGTGAGAGAACTTGGGAAGGTTGAACACCAGACGGGCTGTGGCATTCTGGATGAGTTGTAGGGGTTTAATGGCACAGGCAGGGAGCCCAGCCAACAGCGAGTTGCAGTAATCCAGACGGGAGATGACAAGTGCCTGGATTAGGACCTGTGCTGCTTCCTGTGTAAGGCAGGGTCGTACTATAGCTAGCTGGTAGCTTTCTAGCTAGTTAGCACCTAAGCCAATTTCAAGACTTTCTAAATTAATATTTGACTAACTCGGAAATATGAAGTTATTTCAGGATGAAACATTATGTTAGCTAGCTATGTGTTTTCACTTATTGCATCTGCATGCTTGTTGTGTTTTCCCTAGTGAAAATAGTATAATCGAATCTGTTAAAAACTGTGGCAGCATGTACAGCAGTGGCCATTCGGTTTTTGACATGCAAAAGTGAAATAGGTGTATTTATGCTGTTGTTCAAATGCACAGACCACTTTATATATCTTCTCAAAGAAACTACCGGTAGTTCGAAAACTTGGCATCATATTTCTGTCACGCTGCTTTGTTGACAACTCCAACCACCTCGCCCCCTGGGTATTCAGCCAATCAGCGGCCGCCACTGCCTTATAGGATGGCTCCGGGGTTTCCCCTAGGTACAGATCTAGGATCAGCTTCCCCTCCCCAAATCCTAACCTTAACCATTAGTGGGGAAAATACAAAACTGACTGAAGATCACTGTCTAGGGGCAACTTCACTCTACTCATAAAATGTAGCCAGGCAACCCATAATTTACCTATACCCCTGGGGGCCACTCCGTGCAGTGCGTTGCAGCCGTAGCGAGACATGTTGCCATGCAGCTCAGACCGTTGCCTGGGCTGGCAGTGGTTGTGCCTCATCTGTGTGTGTGTGCAGTGAGGGACTTGGCGTTTGTGGCTCAGCGGGGCGAAAATCGGGTTGTTTCAACTGAAGCACTGTAAAAAGACGAAAGCTCACAAGAGAAAACTTGCAAGGGGAACGCTATAAGGGGTAACACACAACTGGAGTGAAGATGTACTGCTGTCTTCTGCGCAAACTGAAGACAAAACCCCCCAAAACTCATATTCAATTGCAGATAATGGTTTCCAGATAACGCGTTCAGAATTGCGTTTTAAGTTCCACAGCAGAGTATCCCGAAGGGAAGATGTTAGACATTTAGAAACTTAATTTAGAAACTTAACCGTTACATGGCATGACCTGTTCCGTTCGGACGCAAACCTGGCTGAGAAGTCATACAGTGTATGCAACTTGACTGATAATTATGTTATTTGTTGTACAAATAAAAAACACTTCTGAATGTGCTATCTGCTTGCTTGAATCCTGGTAAATATTTATTTTTGGGGTGTTCCGTCTTCAGTTTGCACAGAACTATAACTTTACCCTAGTTGTTTCTGTCATAGAGATACTCATGGTGGGGAGTACTTCGAAACACCAGTACTTCGAAACAGTAGTGTGGGTATCATTTCAGACACAGCTCAGAGCCTATATTCATAAAGCGTCTCAGGGTAGGAGTGCTGATCTAGGATCAGTTTAGCCTTTTACAGCTGAATTAATAAGATTACATGGAGAGGAGGGGGGGACCTGATCCTATATTAGCACTCCTGCTCTAAGACACTTGACATATATGCCCCCTGCTCTCTCTACCTTGAGGCATGCCCAGGAAGTCAGTCCGGTAGGTGGACCAGTACTGGGCAGTCAGAGAATTTCTAATCTCTTCCTCAGAAGGAGGACTTTCCCAGGGGGACCAACCATCTGCAGAGCTCTGCAAAATGTCTTTGGGCAGTCGCAACACCATGAAGGACTGGAATTTTTTAAAATAATGTTTAGCACCTTTCATACAATACATCGCTGCCCAAAGAGCTTAAAATGTTAAGTAATAAAGCATAGAGGTACAATAATAGGAACATAGTGATAACAGGGATGCGGCTCAGATGACACCCTACACTCTTAGAAAAAAAGGTGCTATCTAGAACCTTAAAGGGTTCTTCGGCTGTCCCCATAGAAGAACCCCTTTGAAGAACCCTTTTGGTTCCAGGTAGAACCCTTTTGAGTTCCATGTAGAACCCTTTATACAGAGGGTTCTACATGGAACGCAAAAGGGTTCTACCTGGAACCGAAAATGGCTCTACCTGGGACCAAAAAGGTTTCCCCTATGGGGTCAGCCGAAGAACCCTTTTGGAACACTTTGGGCCCTGTTCAAAAGTAGTGCACTATGTAGGGAATAGGGTGCCATTTGAAATACAACCCTGGATAGGGGCACCAGAGGGTACAGACAGGTTAGTTAGCTAAATGTTAGATTAATATTTGTTAAGAAGCTTTTATTTCTGCAAAAAGGAAATGGAAATGTATGAATGTTTAGACTTTTCCAGAGGATAGAGTGTGGATATGGATCTCTGCCTGACTGGCATGTGGGTTGTTCCTCCTGTTCCCAGAGGCTGATCCCGAGCGAATGCTGTCAGGTTTAGCGGCTGGCTTCCAACAGAAGTCCTCATTGTACACAGTGGCACCCACAGGACAAAATAGTGCATAGAAGTTTCTACAGGCACTTGTAGTTGTTTTTATTTTTGTTTAACCATTATTTATACAGGTTTTTCTCATTGAGATAAAATCTATATTTCAAGAGAGACCTGGTCCAACAGCAGCAGGGGGAACAAAGTTTCAGACAAAACTACTTACATACCCTAACACAACATTGAACAAAACTATAGACACACATACAGTACAACAATTACATATTACGTAAAGAAACACGAATGTCAAAACTAAAAAAACAGCTGTCCTAAAGACAATTACACTCTTCTATGATATTTACATCGACCAAGTGTTTAAACTCCACCAACATGACTAGATCATCAAATTTTAAAATGTTCAGGAGAGAATTCCAGGACCACGGAGCTGAGTAACTAAAACTATTTCTACCATGACCTGTTCTAATTCTTGGTACTGTTAAAAGAAAATGAGAATGGGACCGTAATTTATATTTATTTACTGACCTGATTAAAAAAGAACAGAGATAAAGTGGCATTTTACCCAGTATGGCCTTATAAATCAGTGTATACCAATGTTTAAGCCTACGCAAGGTCAATGACGACCAGCCAACAGTGCTGTAGAGATCACAATGATGTGTTAGATGTTTTTGATTGGTAATGGACCTGAGGGCCGCATGATATACTGAATCAAGTGCTCTCAGGGTAGTGGTTGAGGCCTGCATATATACAGTACCAGTCAAAAGTTGGGACACACCTACTCATTCAAGGGTTTTTCTTTCTTTTTACTATTTTCTACATCGTAGAATAATAGTGAAGACATCAAATGAAATAATACATGTGGAGTAGTAACCAAAAAAGTGTTACACAAATCAAAATATATTTTACATTTGAGATTCTTCAAATAGCCACCCTTTGCCTTGATGACAGCTTTGTACACTCTTGGCATTCTCTCAACCAGCTTCACCTGGAATGCTTTTCCAACAGTCTTGAAGGAGTTCCCACATATACTGAGCACTTGTTGGCTGTTTTTCCTTCACTCTGCCGTCCGACTCATCCCATCTAAATTTGGTTGAGGTCGGGGGATTGTGGAGGCCAGGTCATCTGATGCAGCAGAATGCTGTGGCAGCCATGCTGGTTAAGTGTACCTTGAACTCGAAATAAATCACAGACAGTGTCACCAGCAAAGCACACACAAACTAACACCTCCTCCTCCATGCTTTACGGTGGGAAATACACATGCACATCATCCGTTCACCCACACCGCGTCTCACAAAGACACGGCGGTTGGAACCAAAAATCTCCAATTTGGACTCCAGACCAAAGGACAAATTTCCACCGGTCTAATGTCCATTGCTCGTGTTTCTTGGCCCAAGCAAGTCTCTTTTTCTTATTGGTGTCCTTTAGTAGTGGATTCTTTGCAGCAATTTGACCATGGAGGCCTGATTCACGCAGTCTCCTCTGAACAGTTGATGTTGAGATGTGTCTGTTACTTGAACTCTGTGAAGCATTTACTTGGGATGCAATTTCTGAGGCTGGTAACTCTAATGAACTTATCCTCTGCAGCAGAGGTAACTCTGGGTCTTCCATTCCTGTGGCGGTTCTCATGAGAGCCAGTTTCATCATAGCGCTTGATGGTTTTTGCGACTGCACTTGAAGAAACTTTCAAAGTTCTTGAAATGTTCTGGATTGACTGACCTTCATGTCTTAAAGTAATGATGGACTGTCGTTTCTCTTTGCTTATTTGAGCTTTTCTTGCCATAATATGGACTTGGTCTTTTACCAAATAGGGCTATCTTCTGTATACCTTGTCACAACACAACTGATTGTCTCAAACGCATTAAGAAGCAAAGACATTCCACAAATTAACTTTTAAGAAGGCACACCTGTCAATTGAAATGCATTCCAAAATGTATGCACTCACTAATTGTAAGTCGCTCTGGATAAGAGCGTCTGCTAAATGACTAAAATGTAAAAATGTAAATTCCAGGTGACTACCTCATGAAGCTGGTTGAGAGAATGCAAAGCTGTCATCAAGGCAAAGGGTGGCTATTTGAAGAATCTCAAATATAAAATATATTTTGATTTGTTTAACACAATTTCCCTCATTAAAATGCAAATCAATTGATAAAATTTTTGACGTGTTTTTCTGGATTTTTTTGTTGTTATTCTGTCTCTCACTGTTCAAATAAACCTGCCATTAAAATTATAGACTGATCATGTCTTTGTCAGTGGGCAAACGTACAAAATCAGCAGGGGATCAAATACTTTTTTCCCTCACTGTATGCATCCTCAACATTAGTCATTTCACCATTCACTGTATGAACCCATTTCACTAGACCCAGTAAGTTACATGACTTAAACCCAACGATGGGTGTTTTTTCTCCCTTTACTATGAGATGTATCATCTACCTCCAGCACCAATGTGCATGTCCCTGAAGTGACGATTGCTTCACCACTGTAAGCTTTCAGTCTTATCCTTTGTTTTGTGTTCACCACTGGTTTTACCTGTAACCGTAACAATTCAGTCTCTGGAATGATGTTGACCTGTGCTCCAATGTCAAGTTTGAACACAATGTCAGTTCCATTAGTCTTGTAGGTAGCAGTCCAGTCCTCGTCTGGTCCTGCAAGTGTGACTGTTCCCACAGAGGTATTTTGTTGTCTCCGCTGCCTGCATTTGAGTGCGAAGTGGTTCTTCATGCCACAGTTATAACACTCTTTTCTTTATGCTGGGCACCGGTGAGGTCTGTGCTCTCCTCCGCAGTTGCTGCACGAGTGCTGGTTCCCTGAAGGGCGCTGCTGACTGCTGTCGGTGCTGTCCTTTGAAGTTAGCCGTTTAGCTGTAGCTCTTCCTTTGCTAACATACTCCACTTTGCATACTGTGTCACTAAGAACATCACTGTCCATTGACCGTATGCGATTCTTAGTCACCTCTCTAACTTGACACATTTGTATTGCTCTTTCTAGTGTCAGTTCATTCTCACCAATTAACTTTTCTCTCAGCCCCTTGTCTCTCACCCCCATGACAATTCTATCTGGTATCAGCGAGTCTGCAATTTGACCGAAATTACACAACTGACATTTCAGTTTCAGGTCCATAATAAAACTCCTCAACAGTCTCTGTTTCATTCTGACATATACTGTTTAAAACTAGTTTCTTCTGGAAGTACAAAAAGACCGAAATTTGCTAATACCAGTTCATAATCTGCTTGCTCTTCATCCATTAGCTGAAAGCTGTTGTAGACATCAATGGCGTCCGAGCCACATATGTGAGAGTGCTGGCCCAGTACCGTCCCCACGCTAAGACAAAGGTATCAGCAGATGCATCATCCTTCAGGCTACGGGCAGTCCTCACACAGATGCAGGACAACATGGAGTGGCGTCCAATAGCATACATCTCACAAAGCTTTTCCGACACGGAGCAAAGGTATGCACAAGTGGAGATGGAGGCGTTGGCTATCACATGGGCATGTGAAAGGCTCAGCCAATACCTTATTGGCCTGCAGTTTACAGCAGAGACTGACCACAAACCACTGTTAACTCTGTTAGGGACAAAAGCACTGGACGACTTACCTCCCAGAGTTCTGCGCTTCCGCCTCAGATTGCTGCGTTCACCTACAAGATTGTGTATGTGCCAGGGAAGGCACTGATCACAGCAGACGCACTCTCCAGGGCCCCAATTAAACGTCCATTAACAGAGGAGGAGCAATGTCTAGAGGGTGAGGTACAGGTGTCCATTAATGCAGTAAGAGAGAGCCTACCTGCATCTCAGACCAAACTGCAGCAGATTGCAGAGGAGCAACAGCGAGACCCCATCTGCCAACAGATAGTACAGCGGTGCATAAAAGGATGGCCCAGGCAGGAGGAACTACCTCAGCTGCTGAAGCCCTATTGGGTGCACCAAAGTGACTTCTACTCTAATGAAGACCTTCTCATGAAAGGACAACGGATAGTTATCCCAGAGACTCTACAACCGAAAATGCTAGGCATGAGGGACACATGGGGATAACCAAATGCAGACTGAGGGCTCAACAGTCGGTGTGGTGGCTTGGTCTGAGTACTCAGATTGCCAAGTTGGTGGCCCAGTGTAAGGTGTGTGCAAAATGTCAACCTTGTCATCCTGAACCAATGATGGCAACGGAGCTGCCAAAATGGCCATGGCAAAAGGTAGGAGCAGATATGTTCTATTGGAAAAATGACACTTATCTGCTAGTGGTAGATTACTATTCAAGATTCATTGAAATAGCAAAGACACCTATAACCACATCAGCTGGTGTTATCAATGGATTAAAGTACATTTTTTCCAGGCAAGGGGTCACTGAGGTCCTGGTTACAGGTTATGCTCCCCAGTTCTCTGCGAGCTCTTTTTATGCTTTTGCCACAGAATATGACTTCACACATGTGACCAGTAGCCCCTACCATGCACCGAGCAACAGTGAGGCAGAGAGAGCTGTCAAAACAGTTAAGGGACTGCTGAAAAAGAACAAGGATCCGTACAGGGGTCTGTTAGCTAACAGAGTTACACCACTGCCGTCGCATGCCGAGCTCCTGATGGGCAGGAGGCTGAGCTCCCCATTGCCTGTCTCGCCAGCTCAGCTTAAACCCAGATGGCCTAACAGGAAGGCCTTCGCTGAGAGGGACAAACGGCTGAAACAAACACAAACTGGAGACTTTAATCGGAGACACCGTGCTACGGAGAGGCCAGAGCTGACAGAAGGTCAACGTGTGTGGATTACAAACACCAGCAATAGTGCTGAGGAATGCGGATGCCCCACACTCCTATGTGGTGGACACAGGCTCAGAGGAGGTACGGAGGAACAACACACACCTCAGAGCTCTTCCAGATATATCAGCCACACAGGCTGAGGAGGCCACAGACAATGCAAAAAAAGAGGGGGAAAGAGAGAGAATGCTCACAGAGCCACAAGTTCGCCCAAAAAGCATTCTCACAGAGCCACAAGCTCGCCCAAAAACGGATGTGAAGCCACAGAGTGGCTGAAAGACTATGTTACGTGAATAGAATACATACTGTTGGGGACCATACCCAGCAAAAAGAGGCGGAGTAATTTAATGCTTTCATACTCTATCAGGATGTGAAGTAGCATGTTAAAGAGAATATTACTGGTTTCCAAATTGCATTTCAGTTATGCTTCAGTGGTTATGAATGTTGAATTCTTGTTCATTGGAGAGGGGAAGATGTAGTAGGATGGCCCTTGTGGGTATCCGTACCTATGTATGACATGCGCAGACTAGGCTAGTAAAACATGCTGAAGCTAGAACCTCGTTGTCGTGACTCCTTATTTTAGATGATACTACACTCTAGTGCAGTACAACTGTTCTTCACAGCATTGCAACCACCTTTGAAAAAATTTATGGATAATTTGACATACTTTATTTTTAATATTGTATTATTTATACCAGCATTTATTTAGAACGTTTACACACATACTGCTATGTTGAAAGCTATTGTGTTGGCTATATTTAAATAAATATACTTTTAATCAAATACAAATACAGTGCTATGAAAAAGTATTTGCCCCTTTCTAATTTTCTCTACTTTTGCATATTTGTGATACTGAATGTTATCAGATCTTCAACCAAAACCTAATATTAGATAAAGGGAACATAAGTGAACAAATAACACAACAATTACATATTTATTTCATTTATTTCATAAACAAAGTTATGCAACACCCAATTCCCCTGTGTGAAAAAGTAATTGCCCCCTTACACTCAATAACTGGTTGTGCCACCTTTAGCTGCAATGACTCCAACCAAATGCTTCCTGTAGTTGTTGATCAGTCTCTCATGTCGCTGTGGAGGAATTTTGGCCCACTCTTCCATGCAGAACTGCTTTAACTCAGTGACGTGTGGGGATTAGGTCTGGACTTTGACTAGGCCATTCCAAAACTTCTAATTTGTTTTTTAGCAATTTTCATGTAGACTTGATTGTGTGTTTTGGATCATTGTCTTGCTGCATGACCCAGCTGCGCTTCAGCTTCAGCTCACAGACGTATGGTCTGACATTCTCCTGTAGAATTCTCTGATACAGAGCAGAATTCATGGTTCCTTCTATTAAGGCAAGTCGTCCAAGTCCTGAGGCAGCAAAGCATCCCCAAACCATCACACCACCACCACCATGCTTGACCTTTGGTATGATGTTCTTACTGTGGAATGCAGAGTTTGGTTTTTGCCAGGCATTACTGGAACCATGTCGTCCAAAATGTTATACTTTTGAATCATCTGTCCATAGAACATTCTTCCAAGAGTCTTGATGATCATCCAGGTGCTTTTTGGCAAACTTGAGTCAACTTTTTGGATGAGATGGTTCCCATTATGCCTGGCGAAAACCAAACACTGCATTCCACAGTAAGAACATCATACCAAAGGTCAAGCATGGTGGTGGTGGCAGTTCATGCTTGAAAACCCACACGTCACTGAGTTAAAGCAGTTCTGCATGGAAGAGTGGGCCAAAATTCTTCCACAGCAACGTGAGATACTGATCAACAACTACAGGAAGTATTTGGTTGGAGACATTGCAGCTAAAGGTGGCACAACCAGTTATTGAGTGTAAGGGGGCAATTACTTTTTCACACAGGGGAATTGGGTGTTGCATAACTTTGTTTATGAAATAAATATGTAATTGTTGTGTTATTTGTTCACTTATGTTCTCTTTATCTAATAATAGATTTTGGTTGAAGATCTGATAACATTCAGTATCACAAATATGCAAAAGTAGAGAAAATTAGAAAGGGGGCAAATACTTTTTCATAGCACTGTATATGTAATTAGAATTACTCAATAGAGTCTGCAAAACTTAAATTGGTCTCTTGTGCTGACCAACGGGTTTAATACAGAGTACTGGTGACTTCTTACTCCACCCACTCCATGAATTACATAGAGAAAAAGGTGTTATATGTGCTGAGGTAAAGGTGTGATTGGGATTACTGAGTAGGGTCTGTAGAATCTATATATGGTGTTATTTTTTTACTCTACTTTTGATCTACAGCCCAAAATGTCTTTGGTGTTTCAAAAACAGTGTATTGCACTGTGGCCAATGGAGAGGGTGGAGTAGAAAGTGCTGCTGGGTATTTATACCTCAGTTCCAGGGACGGCCTGTTCAATAGGGCGATATGGGCGACGCACTGCCAAACGGGAAAAGGAAGGGATTTTTTTTCTAATCAATTATATCACTGCAACAGTAGTTATCAGTGTTGTAATCTATACGTCTGATCTGCCACAGTGCCACACTGCCACTAAATGTCGAATCAGGCTAAAGTCGTGCTTCAAATGGCTCCACCCCCTTTTGGGGCGATTTCAGTCAGATTGAAAATCGCCCAGAACTTCTGTCATAGACTCCCATGTAAAATCTATTTTTTTCAAATTTCAGAGCCTTCAATACAATCTCAATGGGTGTCTGTGGGCTTGCACTTACGCGCTTTCGTCATACGTTACGTAACCATGAACGTAACTGAGAAAAGAGTGGATTGTTTGAAAGAAGTTCCTTTTTGTCGGCGAACAAATTAAGATAAATTGGCAACGAAACAATTAGGACCTCCCAGACCAAATTTAATAATTCAACAGGTTTCTACTAAAGGCGGAAAGTCCTACACCCGAGGATTTTCCAAAAATTGGTACGAACGAAAAAAGACATTGCCACTCACTCAACTGGATGATGAGGGATACAGGCTAGCTGTCCGCCGCCACAACGATGAGGTTAGTGTTGATAATCACAAGTTTACTGGATGTGGATATGGTGTAATAAAGGCAGTTTATTCAGAGGTAAATATATCTGGAATCGCGTTCACGGACCCGTTCGTCAAACTCTTAGGGAGCTATAAATTAAGCCCCATTACTTACCATATCAGATAAGAGAAATTGCTGCAGCTACATATATTTTACATCCTGGCCCTACATAGTTCACTATTTGCATCACTTACCAAAATATTACATGTGGTCATATATGCTTGGAAAGTGGAGATGCCATAGAACGTCAAAAAAGTAAACATTGCTGGAGACACATTGCCGTTTTGGAGAAGACATCGCGTTTGCTAGCGAAGAGATTTGTTGTGGCAAATGAACTTGGGCTGGGAATTGCCAGGAACCTCACGATAAGATATATGCATCAGCATTGCGAGTCTCATGATTCTATACGTATTGCGATTCGATACTGTGATTTTATTGCGCACCATATGTCTGTTGCAGAGGGATCAGAAAGCCATGAGAACGAGTTTTGATCAGTCATGGAAATAAAAGTGCTGAAAACAAATTGGCTCCCAATGTGAAAAGATTGAGAACAAGCTATGAAGGAACAATAATGGTGTTTTGGTGCAGGTACAGCCAACTAGCGCTAAAATATTGCGATATTGTCAATACAGTATATCGTAAAGTATCACTATGTAACTCGATTTCTTTCACCCCAATCCCTCAAATTAACGGTAAATAACTGAATTGTTTGCCCCACATTTAGCTAAGATGATTAGCTAGCCAGCTAAAATGTTTTAGTTAGTTAGCAGTCGCATCTACAATAGTTTACTGTCAATAACATGTCTCCAAAAATGACGTGGTGTCTCCAATTGTGTTGACATTTTACAATTGCAATGCGCATCCATGAGTATCCACTTTCTGTAGCTCAGCTGGTAGAGCATGGTGCTTGTAACGCCAAGGTAGTGGGTTCGATCCCCGGGACCACCCATACACAAAAATGTATGCACGCATGACTGTAAGTCGCTTTGGATAAAAGCGTCTGCTAAATGGCATATTATTATTATTATTATTATTATTATTATTATTATTATCTGAAGAGAGCCCCGAAACATTGTGTGCAGACATTTTATGCAATAAATGAAGTAGGTTCAATCTAGTAGTTCTGATCTTCTGATTGGTCCTGATGAGTTGGGCGAGGTCCCCTGCAGGCTACTGTCACTGTTGCATTGGCTCTGAGTCGGGTTCTCTGTCTTCAAATGTTCAGCCTAAGAGAGGGGATTTTTGTGTGTGTGTGTGTGTGTGTTTAACAGTGATGATGTGTGTGTGTGTGTGTGTGTGTTTAACAGTGATGATGTGTGTGTGTGTGTGTTTGTGTGTGTGTGTGTCCTCAGAGCAAGAACTCGTGAGTTGGAAGAACTGAGAGGCCTATGGCGTGGGTGTTGTCCTTGGCCACCTGCTGACAAGGCTGACAAGATAGGACCCTTTTGTCCATTGTTATTGGATAGGAACAGAACTTATAACCAGCTCCTGACCTAAATAGATCTTAGCACAACATTTTACTCAACATATCATATTCCATATTCACTATAACAAATATATTTACTACGACATTAGCAAGAACCGCCACATCCTCAGCCGGCTAATCCAGTGTGTGAAGTTTTGCGGAGTGTTTGAGTTAGCTTTGCGAGGCAAAGATGAAACTGAGGGCTCCACCAACCCTGGTAAGCCAACACTTTTGAGATCAGTCAATAAATGCTTCTGGTATTGACTTATATGCTGCCCCTGTCTTCATGTTCCAGTTCCCCAAGAAAGAACACCATATACACTGAATGTACAAAACATAAAGGACACCTACAGACCCTACTGAGTATTCCCAAACCCACTTTTACCTTGGCGCGTAGAATCGTTTTTTCTCTACATCCCAATGTTGAGAACATACCAATCTGAACATTTTATTTTGTTTCCATAAAGTCCTTCTTGCATTTGCTTATAAGCACAATAAAAATTGACATAGATTAACATGTAATATCTCTTGAATGAGTTCTCCACATTGCAAGAGGGTAGGTTGATGTCAGGGGGAGACTCCTGACGAGGACGGAACTAGTGGGTTGCTCTTTGTTGAAAGATGGCAGAAGCTGGAGCAGGTGGCGATCTCGAAACTAATGGCGGAAAAAGCAAGGAAGATTAAACAATGGTCCAAAAGAATGCAAAACGGACCAAAGTAGTGCTGGAAAACAAAATGGAAAGTTCTGTGAATGCCCCTTCTTATCTTGTAGGATTGCGGTTTGTTGAGGAGGGGCGGATCGAGTTGCCAAACCTGAGGAATCCATTTGAAATATCCAAGCTGGGTGGAAAGAGTGATGGGTAAAGTAAATGCAGTAAGGATTACGAGAAGTGGACTTTGTTTGATTTCGTGTACTTCTGATAAGCAGAAAGCGCTTGTGTTGCGTTGTACTGGAGTCGAGAATGTTGCCGTGTCGTTCGTAGCTCTTCGGAGCAGGGCCCCCTCAAGGTGGTAATATCTGGCGTTTTGTGGGAAGTCGAGTTGGAAGAAATTAAAAATATCCCTAGAGTGATTGATGCACGTTGGATGAATTGAGTAGTTAATAGAGAGAAAGTGAAGAGTATATCTGTTCTTTTGTTTTTTGAGGCGGAGTCCCTCCATACCGAGGTGAAGTTGGGGTATATGAATTACTGTGTAAGAGCATTTGTCCCAAGATTGTGATCGCTGTAGTGCCTTTGGTGGTGGATAGGCATTCACTGCAGGCTGCAGGGTTTGCCTCTCATCAGCAGGACCCAGATATTCTATAGGTTAAGAAGGTAGACTTTGTACTCTTTATGGCTATGGTGATCAATGGCATTTCCAAAGTGGAGAAAAAGTCTAGAAAGATGGACATCATTGTGGATGCGGCGGAGCGGTTTCTGAGAATGGTGGACTTCTCGGCAAAGGAGTTACATGAAAGGCTATCACAAGCCGTACTACCCTCTCAGGCCCCAGAGCCTGAGCCCCAAGGGAGGCTCCTGACGACCCAACGGCACGGGGAGGTGGACGATCCGGACGGTTACGGTGGAATGCCTGAATCATCTCTGGGTCGAGGATGTCCTGGTCGGGAACCCAGGACCGGTCTTCAGGCCCATAACCTTCCCAGTCCATTAGATAGTGGATGCGACCTCTCAGGCGTTTGGAATCAAGGATGGCCTGAATGGTGTAGGTAGGTTCCCCTCCGACGTCCAACGGTGGGGGCGCACTGCGGGTTGAGACTGGAGGATGAAGAGGACTGTAGGTGATCGGTTTTAACAGAGACACATGGAAGGACGAGAAGATTTTATACTGACGGGGTAACTGGAAGCGGTACGTGACAGGGTTGATGCGATGGGTTATCTTGAAGGGACCAATGAAGCGAGGACAGAACTTTTTTTTGCAGGCGGAGCCGGATGTCTCTGGTGGAGAGCCACACACACTGTCCGGGGTGAAAGAGTGGCGTAGGTCGGCGGGTCTGTGAGGGATTGGCAAAGGTTGAAGCTTACCGGAAGGGAGATGACGAGGGCTTTTGCTTTGGGCGCAGACAAGACAGGAGAGTACGTAATCCCTTACGTCGGATGCCAGTGAGGACCACCAGAACTTACGGGCTAGAAGTTTGGTGGTTCGTGTAATGCCTGGATGTCCTGACCCCAAGGACGTGTGACACCATTGCATCAGTTGGGCTCTAACAGCTACTGGTACGTAACTCTTCCCAGCTGGTGTCTCAGGAGGAGCCGGGTCTGAGGTTAGGGCTTCTTGTATGGCAGAGTGAACCTCCCACTGTACCGGTCCCTTAATGCAAGAGGAAGGAAGAATGGGTGTAGGGTCTGAGTTACAGGTAAGGAAGGTCAAACTGGCAGGAGAGAGCATCAGCTTTTACGTTTTTCTTTCCAGGGATGTAAGTAACATGAAAATGGAAGCGTGTGAAGAAGAGAGCCCAGTGGGCTTGTCTGGAGTTTAACCTCTTGGCCCCTCTGATATATTCCAGATTACGATGATCTGTTAGGACGAGAAAGGGATGTTGTGCGCCCTCCAACCAGTGGCACCACTCCTCGAGGGCCAGCTTGATGGCGAGGAGTTCTCTGTTCCCCACATCGTAATTCCTCTCAGCGTTGGATAACTTCCTGGAGAAGAAGGCACAGGGATGTGATTTTGGAGGTGTTCCCACCCGCTGAGACAGTATGGCTCCTACTCCTACTTCGGAGGCATCCACCTCCAGGGTGAAAGGAAGGGTCGGATCAGGTTGGCGAAGGACAGGAGCTGAGGTGAAGAGGAGTCTGGGTCTTTTGGCTGGTAAGGGCAGTGAGGGGAGCGGCAGTAGAATTGAAGTTCCGAATGAACCGGCGATAGAAGTTGGAGAACCCAATGAAACGTTGGAGTTCCTTAACAGTGGTGGGTTTGGGCCAGTTACTGATGGTGGTGACTTTGTTCTCATCCGTGCTGACCCCTCCAGGTGTCAGTACGAAACCGAGGAAGTTTACAGAGGTTACATGGAAGGTGCTCTTATGGTCAAGGAGCCGTTGAAGAACCCTTTGTACATGCTGTATGTGTTCCTTCAGGGAGTGGGAGTAAATCAGGATGTCATCAATGTAGACGATGAGAAAGCGGTTGATCATATCCTGGAAAACCTTGTTCATACAGGATTGGAAGATGGCGGGGGCGTTAGTAAGACCGTAGGGAATGACCAGGTATTCGTAGTGCCCTCGTGCGGTGATAAAGGCCGTCTTGTATTCGTCGCCCTCACGTATACGGACAATGATATATGCACTTCGCAGGTCGAGTTTTGTATAGATGTTGACGCGGCCCACTTGTTCAAGGGTCGCTGGGATCAGAGAAAAGAGGGAAACGGTTCTTGACTGTGACGTCATTCAGGGAACGGTAATCAATACATGGATGGAGACCACCGTAATTTCTTCCAACGAAGAAGAAGCTGGATGCAGCCGGGGAAGAAGAAGGACGGATGAAACCATTTTTGAGTGCTTCATCAATGCATTTCTCCATTGCCTCATTTTCCGGGATAGATAGGGGGTAAACACGGCCCTTAGGTGGGGACACTCCAGGGAGTAAGTCAATAGCACAGTCCCCTGGGCGATGTTGTGGCAGAGTGGAGGCCTTGATTTTGCTGAAGACATTGCTGTACTGGGCGTATTCAGATGGTATGGTGGGTGGCACTGCAGAGGCAGAATCCTCAATGGTGGTGGCTCTGCAGGGTAGACTGAGACAACTGGTGACGCAGGTAGAAGACCAGGACAGTAGTTCACCTTGTCACCACGAGATGGCAGGGTCGTGACGACAAAGCCAGTGGTGTCCGAGGATGAGTGGCTGTTTGGGGGATGAGTTTCATGAGTTTAATGGTTTTGGTGTGGAAGACTCCAATCTGGAGGGTGACGCTCTGTGTCAAGTGCGTAATGAAGCCTGTGTCCAATGGCTGCCCGTCCAGGGCGTTCATCTTTAAGGGAGGGGTGACAGGCGTTAGATCAATGTCAAGCTCTTGTACTAGCTGGTGAATCTATCAAGCCCTCTACGTACTTAGTAATATGGAACTTTGAAGGACGGAAGAAGTGGGAGTCTGTTTTGGTTTGTTTTGTTTTGTAGACTATTTTAGTTGTGAGGAGTAAGTTCGTTTTTCCCCATCAAGTGTGGTTTTCTTTTTTACTTTGAATCCAGTAGTGGGCAGCAATACAACTTTTTGAATGTCGTCCACCCTAAAACCCTAGCCTCGTACGAACCATCCTGATCTCGCGAGCTTACATTCTGTTTCGCTAGATCAGGATGGTTCGTATGAGGCTACTAAAACCACTGAGGTAAATAAGAACTGGAGACTGCGTCCAAGATGACCGCCTGTTGTTTTCAAGGAAATCTACTCACATTTGCATATGCTGATCATGGACCGTCTATATCCGGTTTATACGGACCAGCATTTGCATCCAGTTTATACGGGCCAACATCACATGCACACTAGCACTCAGTACGAGCAGCGACGAGTCCGACGACGTCATCACGTCATCCAAAAACATGGCAGACATTGGATGAATATAAAATATTAATATCTTCGGCTGTGAGTGATGGGACAAAAAATCATCCTCAGCAACAATTACTTTAATAATTCAATGGAAGTTTTGCACACAAAGGTGATGACTAAAGTGTTTTATTAGGAATTTTCTAATCTAACTTCTATGTGGCCTTGTATGGAAATTGTATTTCTGGGCCGGGCATCAGTTGAACTGCAGTACCGAAGCAAAACTGTAGGAGCAGTCGAAACCGTGCTTCTAGACCGGAACCCTGGCCACTTGACTAAAACCCCACCAAAGAAGAAGATCCACATTTCAATGTTTTAAAATGCGGGCTTTTATTTTTGAAGGATTCATCATTACCATACGTAAGTGACGTTATTGTTTGTGCTGCTGGCAGAATATTAATCATCGTCCCATTGTTGTTTGTTGAGGCATAACGTTAGCTGGCTAGCTAATTGAGGGTATGTATTTACACCAAAAATATTAGCTAAAATATATAGCGAATTATTGGAAATAGGAACATGGCAATGAAAGAATTATTGTATTTTGCTGAGTTTTCAATAGCTTGCTAACTAGCTATGTAGATGGGGGCTAACAAAGGCAGCAAACAACCGCTAACGTTAACCAGCACATTTTTTCAGGCACCACCTAAAACAGCTTCAATAACGTTAGTTGGTTTTAAAAACTCGTGGAAGCAATACATAGCTAACTAGCTATATTTTATTACATCTAGTTAGCTATCTAACGTGAGTTATTTTTGCTCTAGCTAGCTGGCTAGCCGTGGCTAACAAGCAAGCTTGTCCACCTGCGCTGACATTCGCTAATAACGTTAACAGAGATCTCGATTTTCTTTGCTGTAACGTAGTTATTGTTGTTTTGTCCCATTTGATACGAGTCAGATTTTCGGTCTTCATTTTGTTTTTTGCAACACTAACACGTTAGTTAGCTAGCTATAACGGTTAGCACACTGCAAGGCTAGTTACCTACGACACAACAATGGGATGGATCCATGATGGCTAGCTAGTAATTCTATGCTGTTGAGGGGGGCTGGATTCGAAGCTAGCGAACTGCCATTACTAGCTACAGTGGTCATGCATCTAGTTACCATTCTTAGCTTTTACAAATGTTAATTTTCAAGAAAGGTCGAGACAAATGTGTACCTCCCCAGCCCCCATTCATTTAATGTGGTCAAAGCGCAGGGTTTGTCCTTATGTTTTTTAAAACTGTTTGTACACCCTCTCCTACTAGACCTACACTAGTCACCATGGGGAAAGATCCTAGGAAACCGAGAGGCAAGATGTCATCATATGCTTACTTCGTGCAGACCTGCAGGGCTGAGCACAAGAACAAACACCCCGAAGCCAGCGTGAACTTCTCTGAGTTCTCCAAGAAATGCTCAGAGCGATGGAAGGTAGCATTACACACCAGTGAATGATTGTGAAGTGACATGTTTGTGGTACATATGTACAATGATTATGGATTTACTTCCACCATAGTATGTTTTGTTACTATGTTTTGTTACACGTGAGTGACCTTGTGGACAGTCTAGCAGTGGCCATGTAGATGTGTAATAATTTATACCTCTATATCCAGCCCATGTCTCCTAAAGAGAAAGGCAAGTTTGAAGACATGGCGAAGCAAGACAAGGTCCGCTACGAGAGAGAAATGAAGAACTACATCCCACCCAATGGCCAGAAAAAGAAGAGGTTCAAGGATCCTAATGCCCCCAAGAGACCGCCGTATGTACCATAATTTACTGAGTTTGCATGTCAGATAGACTGGATAGCCATTACAGAGGTGAATTAAACTTCCCTGTGAATTTACATTGTTTGTTTTTGTTTCTCAGGTCTGCATTCTTCATCTTCTGTGCTGACTTCCGGGCCAAGATAAAGAGTGAGCACCCAGGTCTGTCCATCGGAGACACTGCTAAGAAGCTGGGAGTGATGTGGAACAGCTCTGCAGCTGAGGAGAAGAAGCCATATGAGAAGAAGGCAGCCACGCTGAAGGAGAAATACGACAAGGTGAGCAGGGCTTTGATACAACCTACAGAGATGGGGTTTGCCGGATGACAGGAATTCCTGCTTTTCTGAGATTATCCTCTATTCAATCGTCATTGAAGTTGATATACAAACTTCTGATTTCCTGATCACGATGCAATTACATTTTATTTGAATAAAGATGGGTGCAGACAATTCCACCGATATTCAATAAATAGGATGAAAAAAGGGAATCTCATGCGGCTATTCTCATGATGTCATTATTGTCACAATGTAAGAAATCAATATTTTGAAGCATATTTCTTGGACAATTGCTCTTTTGGATGGCAATTTGAGAATTCAGTGTGAAAAAAATGAACTTCCCCCTGTAAAACGGTATGTTGACAGATACATCGGTCTGGCTCTATAAATCATTCTGTTGTGTTCCACAGGATATCGCCTCATACCGCACCAATGGTAGAGTGGATACGGCCTCCTCCGCAGCTGCTGATGATGACGACGAAGAGGAGGATGACGACGATGAGGATGATGACGAGTAGCCTCCCTGCTGTTGGAGCCTACATTCTTGTTTAATGCTATGTAACCCTATTGTACACACTTTACATCTCTGAACAGACCCAGACGCAACGAGAACACGTTAGGGTGTGTATATTTTAATGTTTTTAAGATGGATGGTGTAATGCTCCCTAACTGGTTTAAGTTAACACTACATGTCTTGAATTTTATGTTTTTATATTTTTTTGTTGTAGTAGCCTTTATTCCTGCACTTGCCTGTAACTGCTTTGGAGGATTATAAATCATTATGGAAGTAATAAGTTATCTTTAGATGTGCAACTCTCAAATCAGATTTCTGGGTTGGTAGCTAGTGTATTTGTTTTTTTCCTGTATTTGTTTTAAAGGATATTTTTTCATATGTTTGTCACAAGGTATTTTTATTGTTCTTTGAATACCACTCTTAAATGCGGCTGACATTCAGGAATGTCTTCAATAAAGGTCTTTTTTTAATAAATTGTTTTTGTTTATTTGGAAGATTTACCATGAATTAAGACATTTGGTTGTCTTCGATAAATGTTTACACAGTACATACAGTGCCTTCAGAAAGTATTCATACCCCTTGACTTATTCTACATTTTGTTGTTAAAGCCTGGATTCAAAATGGATTAAATAAATACAAAATCTCACCCATCTACAAACAATACCCCATAATGACAGCAAATTAATTGAAAATGAAATACTGAAATATCTCATAAGTATTCACACCGCTGAGTCAATACATGTTAGAATCATCAGAGGCAGTGATTACTACTTAAGTATCTAAGAGCTTTGCACATTATTCTTAAAAAAATTCTTCAAGCTCTGTGAAGTTGGTTGTTGACCATTGCCTGACAGACATTTTCAAGTCTTGCTATAGATTTTCAAGCTGATTTAAGTCAACTAACATTCAATGTTGTCTTGGTAAGCAACTCCAGTGTATATTTGGCCTTGTGTTTTAGGTTATTGTCCTGCTGAAAGGTGAATTTGTCTCCCAGTGTCTGGTGGAAAGCAGACTGAACCAGGTTTTCCTCTAGGATTTTGCCTGTGCTTAGCTCTATTCCGTTTATTTTTATCCTAAAACACTCCCTTGTCCTTGCCAATGACAAGCATACCCATTACATGATGCAGCCACCATCGTGCTTGAAAATATGAAGAGTGGTACTCAGTGATGTGTTGTGTTGGATTTGCCCCCAAACAACGCTTTGTATTCAGGACATAAGACAAAGTTAATTTCTTTGCCACATTTTTAGCAGTTTTGCTTAAGTGCCTTATTGCAAACAGGATCCATGTTTTGGAATATTTGTAGTATGTACAGGCTTTCTTCTTTTCACTCTGTCATTTAGGTTAGTATTGTGGAGTAACTACAATGTTGTTGATCCATCCTCAGTTTTCTCCTATCACAGCCATTAAACTCTGTAACTGTTTTAAAGTCACCATTGGCCTCATGGTGAAATCCCTGAGCGGTTTCTTTCCTCTCCAGCAACTGAGTTAGGAAGTACGCCTGTATATTTGTAGTGACCGGGTGTATTGATACACCATACAAGGTGTAATTAATAACTGCACCATGCTCAAAGGGATATTCAATGTCTTGTTTTTTTTAATCTCCCCATCTACCAATAAAACAGTTACAGAGTTTAACGGCTGTGATAGGAGAAAACTGAGGATGGATCAACAACATTGTAGTTACTCAACAATACTAATCTAAATGACAGGGTGAAAAGAAGGAAGTCTGTACATAAGGAAGCCTTTGTGAGGCATTGGAAAACATCCCTGGTCTTTGTGGTTGAATCTGTGTTTGAAATTCACTGCTCAACTGAGGAACTTCACAGATAATTGTATGTGTGGGATACAGAGATGAGGTAGTCATTCAAAAATCATGTTAAACACTATTATTGCACACAGAGTGAGTCCATGCAACTTATTATGTGATTTGATAAGTACATTTCTACTCCTGAACTTATTTAGGCTTGCCAAAACAAAGGGGTTGAATACTTATTGACTCAAGACATCAGCTTTTCATTTTTTATAAATTTGTAAAAACATAATGTAACTTTGACATCTTAATTTAATAAGTTTAAAATGTAGGCTAAACACGACAAAATGTGGAAAAAGTCAAGGGGTGTGAATACTCTGAAGGCAGTGTAGATTTCATATGACCGTTTAAAATCAAGGTTATCATCTGAGATTATTGAATCTAATTATAAGAATGCTCTAATAAATATATAGTATTAATCATATAGCAGGTTCTATTTGTGTGATCGAGTTGCACAATAATGGCAGTAGAATACAAGTGTATGTCAGTACTATGTAAATCCAGCAGGTGGTGCCATGGAAAGGAAGGTTGGCCGCCCAAAGAAGAAATGGAGAAAGAAAAATGAGAAGGAAATTAACATCTCCAGCAAATGTTGAGGCCAATTGCTTCACTATGAGCTGAAAGTAATAAGAAATAACAGTGTCTCTTGACAAATGCAAGTCACAAAATAATTCAAATTGAATCTATGTTCAACCACAAGACCTGATTAAATATGTGGAGCTATACACACTCCAGAACCTGGGATAGATATGCCTCCCTGCATCTGCTGTATCAGTAGACCGAAAACAAAATGATTATTGAAATACAATCCAAAATGTACACAGAGTTAATTTGTTCAGAAGGAACCTCGTTCTATCCCTAATCAAACCTGCTTCGGTGTCACATCTGCTCCTGCAACCTGTTCCATAAACAAGACCTCTACAAATACTCAGTCCTGCCACTTCCACACTGCCAGATCGTAATATCTGCTCAGTCAGTCTACGGTTCTAGCCGTTTGTTACTATCAGATCCTGTTGTGCCTGTTTTCCTTGCCTGACACTGTTTTCCTCTCCGCTACAGTTCTGCCCGCTCTGACTCTGGTCCCTGTCTCCAGTCCCACGTCTCGTCATCCTGCTACTCTGTCCTGGATTCCCCACTCTACTACTCTCTTGGATTCCCCTCCGGACCTGCTCACCCTGTCTCAACCCCCCTCGCTCCAGCCTCAGCCTCCGCACCTGGTTTCCAGCAGTTTCCCCTGACCTGCACTCCATCTTCCCCCTGTGTTTCAATAAATACCTTGGTTACTTCATCCCAGTCTCCTCGTCTGAGTCTGCTCTTGGGTTTCCCCTGTTCCACTCCGCATAACATTCGGTATTTGCTGACTTGGTGATCTATTGATTTGCAGCTTTCTTTGTAATGTTGTTGTATGTTTTGTTAGGAATGCCTGACTTTTAATTATGTCAATTTGTGTTTATTTAATAGCCAAACAAAATTCCCATTGTTAGTTATAAAGACTACTTGAAGTTCTTCGACCTCTTGTTGTTCTCTCGGGTGAGCTGTGTTTGGGACGAAGTCTGTGCTCAGGTAGGCTTGCTGTGAGGAGGAGGAGGAGGAATCTCTATTCCCAGTGGGAGTGCCCTTTCCCACACAAAGACAATTCTCTCTTAACTTAAAGGTTGTAATTAATATAACTTTGAAGTATCCACCCTTTCTGTAATTCTCCAGGGCTTTGTTTCCCAAACATTAAAAAGCGGACATATTGTATACTGCAGTAGTTAGGGTGTGTAAAACGGGCAACAATGGGAAATGGATTTCTATTATGGTCTGGATTATCTGTATCTTTACTGTGTGTCTCTCAATACAAAGTATTGACAATGCTGAGTAAGAACTTAAACATGAACTCACTCATAAAAACAGCAGCTCTTTGCTGTATCTCTAGCCATGGTTTTAAACGTTTACAAATCTCACAGTATCAACTTTGCTGTAGCTTTCTTTTATGTCTGCTACATTATTGCCGACACGGTGATCTGAGCCGTCCGATTGGCCAGCGGTAGGCCTATAGTGCACTTGATTTGCTCTCTGGGCCCGCCAGGAAGACAGAGTATTTACCTTCAGACACATTAAATAGTTCAAAATGGCAACAGTTCGCCTATCCGGCGCATAGGGCATCTGAATCGGGTTCACCTACTGCAACACACCGAGACAAATTTAAAAAAAAATAGGAACACAAGGCCTTATCGTTGTTTTTTTTACAGAAATGGTTGGCGATCGACTAGGAATGCATTGGAGATTGACCAGTCAATCGCGATCGACCGGTTGGTGACCACTGCTCTAGAAAGTTGAGTGAAGTTCTATATCGTGGAGCTCCACCCCATAGGGGAGCTCTGCTCCTATTGGTTTACCCTCTGCACTAAGGCAGCATCAGCCTGAGACAAAATTATGCACACACCTGCAGCCAATAGGAGTACAGGTGTCCCTATAAGAGGGGATGCCTCCCCTCAATCTGCCTCCCTTTATCTTCAGCGACTGGACTAGACTGAAGAAGCCAAGAAGAGACGAAGAGAAGACTCAGGACGAAGAAAACGCCGTCGATTTTCCAGATCACCGACGTCATCCTACAATGAGCACACCAAGCTTATCCATAGGGTAAGTATTTAACAAAAGCTATTTTCAGAGCTCAATGTCGCTGTTCCCCTTGGCGGCTGTCACCCCCCCCGACATATGTTTCGTGGGTCGAGGGACACAGCACGCCAGGGACGGCCTCATTAATCCCCCACTATGCGCCAGCTGCGCCCTCCTTTTTTGAAGGAGTGGAAGCAGCGTTGGGCATTTTTAGGGAGGATATTCCTCTTGAGGATGTGCTATCAGTGTTAGTCTCAGCTTCTGAGGCATCATCTGAAGGCGCTGACTCAGGAGATGACAGGGCTATTGGGGAAGAAATGAATATTCTATTGGAACAATTCATTCAACACTGACCCAGATGTTTAACACCCCTTTTCCTTCGGGAAATTGTGAGGTCATTACATCCCTGGATGATGACGCCACAGCCTCTCTGTGCTCTGAATTCTCAGGTCTCATTGAGTGGGCTGCTAAACAGCGGGAGATTAAGCTGCCCCCCATTCCCTCCAACACGGAAGTGGATATGATGAAGGGCGGCCGTTACTCTCGCTACAGCTTGGCGTCAGACGGCGGCCTCCAGCAGCAAGGGAGCGG